CCCCTCCGACAAACTTCAGGTTAGTCTCGTAGAATGTGAGAGCTGGAAGGGACCTTTGAGTACAGTGACAGCATTATTAACCTCATTTTGGAGATGAGAAGGCTGTGGCCCGAAGAGCTGAAGTCACGGTGCAGGCATCCCAGGCCGAAGGGGCAGGACCTGTAGCCCGAGTCTTGATTTATCGTTACCTCTGCTCCCCAAAGAATGGTCCACGGATGCAAGGGCAGCATCTCCAGCTCCGACCCCAGCCCTGCTGAATCAGAACCTGCCTTTCAGCAAGACTTTCTGGTGACTGGCACATGCACACGAAACTTCCCAGCACTGGCCTCCACCACAGCCAAAAGGAAACAGTGGAGGCCTCTAAAGGCGCCCTTGTTTTCAGAATAACTGAGACTCCCTCCACTCCGAAAGGAAAAGGACTGATGATACTGTAAGGGCGGGAGGGGCAGGGCAGAGATGTGTGCATTTTCAGAATCTAGTCACTGCAGAAGCTCACCTCTCCAGGTAGATGGCGTTGGGGGAGACATCTATTATTAAAATAATAAGCACTGAATAGTCTAGTAAAAGAGTCTCAGGTGTAAAGAAATACATGCCCAAATACAACCCTTCATTGTCATCAATTACTGCTACCCACGGTTGCGTGCCCATCTGGGCGTGGGCAGGAATGTTTAACTTGCCCTCGATTCTTTCTCTGACACAGGTAGATCCATAGTTCCCACAATTCTACCAGGTTTTCTTCTCTTTTAAATATATGTTTATTGATTTCAGAGAGGAAGGGAGAGGGAGGGATAGAAACATCAATGATGAGAGAGAATCATTGACTGGCTGCCTCCTGCACGCCCCACACTGGGATCAAGCCTGCAACCCAGGCATGTGCCCTGACCAGGAATCGAATCATGACGTCCTGTTTCATAGGTTGATGCTCAACCGCGGAACCATGCCAGTGAGGTCTACCAGGTTTTCAAAAACTTCTTTCTCCGACAGCTTTTGATTTGAGAGAGGTGGGGGAAGGAGAGAGGGAGAGAATATGAGAATCAATTGCTTTGGACTTTGTCTCCCAGGCAGTAGTCATCAGCTTTCCTCCTACCAGCTATACACAGCTTTTTTCGTCTTCTAGCTCGAGGCAAAAGCTGCCTTTTCCTCCACTTGATGCCAGAAGACAAACATCCTGGTCACATAATTGGCCCCCTTTCCAGCAGTAATATCCCATATGTTTCTTCCAAGGAGGAAATAACTGAAAGGACTTTTCTATAAACTATGCAGCAAGATTTTAAGATATTTGGAGCGGTTTTTATCTTGGAGGGTATCTAGAACACGGTCTTATCCAGATTTCATGGATCATCATCAATTTTCTCTTTGTCCCTAATCAGATTAAACTGTGTGGTTGGCAAGAGGGGCGGGAGGCAATTGGATTATGACATAACTTAGACTGAAGACAAACTGGTGCAAATTCATCCTGTCCTGGGTAATTCCTCTGGAATGGGGAGAAATGTGAAAGGAACACACGAGCTTCAGGTCAGTGGGTTGCACCGACTGCGCATGGGATAATGCTTCCAGAGAAAGTGAGCGGTCGCTTCTCAATCGTCCCTGTGACGTGGAGATGCTGATGTCGCTGTATTTTGGTAATGACGCCTCATTTATCCGGCCGCGGCAGGTAAAGCAGTGCTTCGCAGACAACACATTCCCTTTTGTCATTAACACACTCAAGTGTGTGTTTTTAATCTTTATTGTTGGAAGTATTACGTATGCCCCCTTTCTCCCCCCATTGACCTCTTCTAGCCCATCTCCGCCCCTGGCCTTCACCACCCTATTCTCTGTGTCCATGGGCTATGCATATATGCATATGAAGTTCTTTGGTTCATTTCTTCCCACCCACCTACCCAACTCCCCCTTCCCTCTGAGACACACAAGGTTTTATTTTTGCAAGTTGCGCGGTGTGCCAGCTAAAATGATCATTTCTCTGCTTTCTGAAGTAGAGCTAATGGGCTAAAATGTAATAGTTTTAATGGATTAGAGCCACCATTGATGGCGATTGTCAGTAACTGTGGAGGGAATCACCTGAACCCAGTCTCTGATGGAGTTCCCTGCCTAACGCTAGCCAGTCCTCACTTTCCTGGAAGATGGCTCTGTTGTGAGTAGAAGCCATGTTGGAGTCCATGGGAACACTGCACGAGACGCTTGCTCACGACGTTAACCTCCTGAAAAGCCTCCCATGGGCTCCTTGATTCTGCGCTGGGTGTTCCAGCATCTCCTTCCCTTCTGGCATCAGTCCGCCCGGCTCTCCTGAATCCATGTTAGCCTCAGCCTGTGCCTCTTACCAGGGCTCAGACTCTACCCCAGCTCCTTCCCCATGTGTTCTGCTCTGCAGCGCTGGGGCCCGCCGGACAGACAGGTCTGGGTTGCATTCTTCAGGCAGTTAACGAACAGCCCCCCTGCCAGCGCCCTCTCTTAGGAACCCTCTCTGCTCTGGCTGGAGTTAGTGCCACGGCGCCTGATAGCAACAGGGTAATTTCATTTGAGCAAAACAAAGATTTAGAGGAGAGAGCCATAAACCCAACAGGATGGTAGTCCACGGCCCTCATTTGGCCTCTGGGTTATGTAGAAGTGTGTTGCTTACTTTCCAACTATTTGGAGATTTCCCAGATTTCTTTCTGTTATTGATTTCTAATTTAATTTCATGGTGGTCAGAGAATAGACGCTGTACGATTTCAGCACTTATACGATTATGAAGACTTGTTTTGTGGCTCAGGATATGGTCTGCCTTGGTAAATGTTCCAAGTACACTAGAGACGGATTTGTACGCTGATGCTCTGCTGAGCATTCTGTCAATATTAGGTTATAAAGCTGGTTGGCATGTGGTTCCAGTCTCCTATGCCCTTTCTGAGTTTCTCTACTTGTCCTATCAATTATCGAGAAGGGGCGTTGAAGTTTCCAAGTATAAATATGGAATTGGCTATTTCTCCTTTCGGTTCTATCAGCTTTTGCTTTGTGAATTTTGTGAAACTTCTTTTTATTAGTAGCATAACTAGGATTGTCGTGTCCTCTTGATGAATGAACTGCTCGATCCATGCAACGACTCTCTTTATCTCTGGAAATATTCCTTGCTCTGAACTTCATCTGATATTAATACAGCAACTCTGGCTTTCTTTAGGTTAGAGTTGACAAGTGTATGTTTTCCATGCTTTCACTTCAAACCTACTATGACTTTACTGTATAGTTAAGGCAAATTTCTTTACAGACTCATAGATACAGATAACAAAGTTATGGTCACCAGATGGAGGAGGTCTAGGGGGGAGGGATGAAAAGGGAAAGGATAAAAAAAAATTGGCTGTTACAAAAAAAAATAGTTGCAGGGATGTAAAGTATCTCAAGGACAAGCATTTGTATGATTGCGTTGTGAGTTCCACTTGACACTTCTTTCCCCACAACATTATTTTCACTTGAAATAACTATTGGCAGGTAAACTATGGTTAATCACACTTGGTTATCTGGTGGATATTTTCTCAATAGTTAACACAATGATCTGTACCTTCAGAAAAAAACAATTGACAATATTTGTTGCCAATCCTAAGATAAGATTCGGGGGCGGGGGGCATGGAATTTTGTAGAGCTTGTATCCTCTATCATGAAGTTGGCAGATTCCCAAAACTTCAAGATCTTCCTGATGACATTGGTAGAGATTTTAACAAATGTGATTTTTTTGTTGTTATTACAAAGATAACTTGTCAACATTTTGGAAGACCTGCTTGACTCAATGAAAAATATTTTCAAAATGACCAATGCCTGATGCCACAAAATCATGTAAAAGATATACTGAAAGGCCAAAACTGATTTGGCTCAGTGGATAGAGCGTCGGCCTGGGGACTGAGGGGTCCCAGGTTCGATTCCGGTCAAGGGCATGTACCTAGGTTGAGGGCACATCCCCAGTAGATGTGCAGGAGGCAGCTAATCGATGTTTCTCTCTCATCGATGTTTCTAACTCTCTATCTCTCTCCCTTCCTCTCTGTAAAAAATCAATAAAATATATTTAAAAAAAAGATATACTGAAAGTATGAGATAGAAGCATATTTTAATATGACAGAATATTTTAAAAACTCACCAATCATGGACATGGGCAGCACTGTAGGGGTGGAGGGGGATGGGTGATGTGGTAGAGGGCATAGAGTCATGGTCACGGAAAAAATTAAGTTAAAATTTAAAAATAGTTCACCAAGATGGTTTCAGAATCCACACGACAACTAACCTTTAAGAAACAACCGACTGTCAAAATTGTCATATTAAAGACTACCCAGTAACTATCTGAAAAGGCTATGAAAATACTCTTCTGTATTCCCACTCTCTATCAGTATGAGACTATATTTTCTTTATATACAGCAACCGAAAAGATATATTGTGGCCAACTGGATGCAGAAACAGACAAGAGAGTCCAGGTGTCTTCCATTAAGTCAGAGAATAAAGAGATTGGCAAACGTGTCAAATAATGGCACTCTTCTCAATAATTTTATTTTGAAAGTTTTTTTCCCATAAAACATGTTAGTTATATGAACATATAATAGGCTTATTATTGTCACTTTCAAATAGATCAGTAAAGAATTATTTACAACTTTGATCACTTTTAATTTTGACTAGAGTAGCAATAGGTAAAACTCACATAAATTATAATAATTTTTAAGAGCATAGGAGCCTGAGATCAAAATGCTTGAGAAGCCCCGACTCTAATGAACACTCCTGAGAGGTGACAAAGCCAGGTCTCGTGTCGGGCTAATTCTCAAACCCATGTTGTTTCCATGGCACAGTGTTACCTCCCTACCCAAAAGTCTCATCAGTATTAAAATGGCCAAAAACATGGAGTCCCCAAAACTTTCTTTTGCAATGGTTTTACCTAAAATATTTACATTTTTTCAATGTTCCGATATTTTTCTTTGGTGAAACACAAGTTTCTTGTCCCTAAAGCTTTAGAACCCCACGAAGGAGTCAAGATGACTCTTTGGCTATGGAATCAAAACGAAATGAGGTTGCTCAGTCATCCACTTCTGCCACCAGGAACAATCCGTTGAGTTTTATAGTGTATTTAAAGCCCAAACAGTTGGGAGATGGTTTTTATTAGATTTTACAAAACAGAAGTAATTCTCATTATTTGGCTCCAGGGCTGTCTCTCATCCACTTGGTGCCAAGAATTAAATTTATGTTCTGGGGGGGCCAGCTTTGCTGGGGGACATCCTCAGGAGGAAGTCTTGCATGCCTCTCCGCAGCACTGCGTTCTCGGCAACCTCCCGCAGGCTCCTGTGCAGCTTTTCCATCTCCTTGTACTCGCTTTTGACGTCTGCGGAGGAGCAGAGGGAGTTAGCGTCCTGTTCACAAACGTCCCCGGCAAACAGATCCCCTGAGAATCATGTTGTGACCTGAGTCACTGGTCCCAGCATGTGAGGGTCTGGGTTAAAGCTTGAAGATCAGATCGTCCAGTAGGTTTGTTTATTACCGGTAACCTGACCAAACCCAGCGTTCTTGCTCCAACCGTCAGGCTCATCTCAGCATAGGGGCCACCATCAAATAACAAATCCTACCCGGAAAACAGGCCTGGGCTGGCCCTGGGTCTAGGGCAGTGATGGCGAACCTATGACACACGTGTCAGAGGTGACACACGATCTCATTTTTTTTGGTTGATTTTTCTTTGTTAAATAGCATTTAAATATATAAAAGAAATATCAAAAATATAAGTCTTGCCATAGCCGGTTTGCCTCAGTGGATAGAGCATCAAATTTCTATATGTGACACGGCACCAGAGTTAAGTTAGGGCTTTCAAAATGCTGACACGCCGAGCTCAGAAGGTTCGCCATCACTGATCTAGGGCCTCACAAGAGCTCAGAGGCAGGAGGTGCCGTGCCCACCGCATACTAAACCCCCCGAAGCCCTGCCCAGGCCCTCTTCTCCTCCCTGGCCGTGCCTGTAGCCGTCCCCGTGCTAAGTGGATTGGCTCTCCTGTGCTGTGAACTTGTCTAGACTGTGGTGCCCGTGTCTGTGGTCAAGCATTATGTGGGTGTTTCTGTGAGTGTGTTTTTGGACGAAATGGGCATTGAAACTGGTAGACCTTGCGGAAAGCAGATTGCCTGCCTCATCTAATCACGGGAAGGCCCGACTGGAACAAAAGGCCACCCTCTCCGAGCAAGAGGGTATCCCCTGCTTTATTTCTCTCCAGGGCACTGTCACCCGTCCCAGGCCTCTTATCTTGTTTATAGTTTGGCTCATTGCCTGCCTTTTCTTCCTCCCCCCCCCCCCCACAACCCTGCCCCCGGGCTGTAAGCTCTGTCAGCAGAGATTTTTGTCTGTACTGCTCACGGCTACATTCTCGACACTAGGACCGAGGTGGAGATGGTAGTTACCGTGGAGTGAAGCACACTGCCCAGTCTAACCAACCAGGCAGCATTCCAGCAGGGCGTTCAGAGCTCTATGCAGCTGCCACAGCGCTCCCTGCATGGGGTACATTTGCTGCTGATGGTCAAGGAAAGGACATGGTCTTAAATTATGGCAGGAGCAACTTATGTCAAACTCGAGGAACATTTCAGTGTGTGAGGCCTGGGCAGCTGAAGAACTTTGGTGAGTAGGAGTTCTTTAAAGAAGACACAGTTGGCCCCAGCTGGGTGGCTGAGTTGGTTGGAGCATCGTCCTGTACACCAAAAGGTTGTGAGTTTGGTTCCTGGCCAGGGCTTATGCCTAGGTTGCAGGTTCGATCCCTGGTCGGGGTGTGTACAGGAGGCAACTGATCAATGTTTCTCACATCATTTTCCTTCTCTTTTTCCTCTCTCTCTCTCTCTCTCTCTCTCTCTCTCTCTCTCTCTCTCTCCAATAAGAAAAACATATCCTTGGGTGAGGATTTTTTTGAAAGGCACAGTTGGATGACTGTAACCTTAGAACAGGTTTTTGTGAAGGCCTGGACAGAGGGTCATGAGAGAGTTCAATAAGCCACATGGAGAGGGCGCGGCGTCTCCTTCCTGAGAGAGCATTCGGAGCGAGCAGGACAGATGCTTAGCGGTAGCGGTTGTGGCTTTTACTTTGGAAATAGCTCCGGCCATTCTCCCCGACACGCTCAGTGACCCACAACAACGGCACCCGATGTCTTGTCTTTCCAGCAGGCACCCATGCACATGGTTCCAAGTGTGAAAGGCACAACATAGACAGATGGCAAAGTAAATCTCCCATCCTCCCTGCCCCCAGTTCCTTCCCTTAGAGGTAACCAGTGTGGCCAGTTTCTTGTGTATCCCGTGGAGACTTTTATGCAGGTACACAGGTGTTGCCTTTTTCTCTCTCACAAATGGCAGCACACTACACACATTTTTCTTACTGTGCATTTACAATATATTTTGGAGATCGTTTCATGCTGCTACTGTATATCAAGCTACTTAATTCTTTGTAACAATTGCACAGCCCTCTGCTGGTTGTGTACCAACTTACCATAACCCAGCGGTTCTCAACCTGTGGGTCGCGACCCCTTTGGGGATCGAACGACCCTTTCACATTGGTCGCCTAAGACCATCAGAAAACACATATATAATTACATATTGTTTTTGTGATTAATCACTATGCTTTAATGATGTTCAATTTGTAACAATGAAATTGGGGGTCACCGCAACATGAGGAACTGTATTAACGGGTCGCGGCATTAGGAAGGTTGAGAACCACTGCCATAACCAGTGCTCTGCTGATAGATGCTTCCCATTCTGATATCATAAGTTACGGACTTGAATGTGCCACTCTCCAGCTATGGATCCTTGGGCACATTGTCTCATCTGAGTCTCTGTTTCTGCATCTGCGAAATGGAGCAATAACATCTGCCTCTGAGGGCTAATGTGAGGATTCGATGAGCTGTGGGGCACAATGCCCCAGGACTGTGCTGGGTCTCAGTGGGGTTCCAGCAAAGGGTGGGGCAGTCATCGTTGTTTTCATCATGTCTTTCAAAAAAAAACTTCCCTGCCCCTGGAATTTCTTCCTAAATTTATTTAAATCCAGGAAAGAGCCACCACACATGCAGGGGGGAGGGGAGGGTCTGCAAGATCATCACGCTTTATGCAAGGATTTTATGTATTTACCTGCAAGCTCCTTGTAGAGACCATCCCCCTGGGATGAAGCAAGGGTCAGCATGGTGGCGATACTGCCCTTCACCTTCTCCGTGATTCCATGCTGCACAAAAAGGGTGGTCCTTCTGTTAGGATGGCACAGCCCGCGGGAAAGGGAATCTTAGGGAAGGGGCCCCACCCAACTCCCCAATCCAAGTGTGCGGACTGGGGCCGCCCAAGTCAAAGTCAGGTCCAAGGCGGGCCACCTTAGAGCGCACAGAATGGCTCGGGAGTCGTCAGGGCGACATCTCTGTGGGGTCCCACCTGTCTCAGCACCTCCTTTCCAGCCTTTGCGAGGGGTTGTCTGTCCCTCTGGCGCTCACAGACTGAATCAGGACCTAACGAGGCTGCATGGAAGTACGGGAGAGAGCACAGCACCCGAAGTGATGGCAAAGAGGGAACGTGTGCCCATTGTCCACCGTCCTATCACGCATTTAATCACGGGATTCGTGTTTATTGAGCACCCGCTTTGTGTGAGACACCAGCTGGCAATCCTGATTTTCTTTCCCAACTTTTGGGACAAATATCTTCTTTGCTCCTCCCACTCCTTCTGTCATCTAAAACCATGTTCTCTCTTCCAACCAGCTCTTGCCTCCCTTTGAAAAATACCCGATTCTCTCCTCTAGTCTGACGAAGCCTAGTTTTGAACCTGGATCTTCTGATTCCAAGTCTTATGCTTTTCTCTTCAACATATCGGGCCTAAAACGCCAAGCTCCAGCCTCAGCTCCAGCTCTGAGCCTTAGCTAGTAACTTGGGTGTCAGCTCCCTTGTTCGTAAGGTCAGGGAATTGGGGACGCTCTGTGGTCTTGCCCTATTTCAACTTCCTACACTTAACCTCATTTAAGATACATTTTTATATGGTCAATGTACTAATCTTTTTTTTTTTAAGTGGAATTGTCTTCTTGGGCACCTGAAGGGCCGACTTCTATATACCCAGTGAGGACTGGATGTTGTAGCGTCTGGCCAATTTCTGCATATGCTTGCAGACTGTGATAATATGTTAAATGACAGGAAGTAAATTGCTACTGGTAACCCAGTAACCCCTTAGCCTCTTCCAAGAGAAAGTTCGTGGTTTGCAGTGTGGGTAAGTGTACTTTCCAGAACTGCAGTGGGGTGGGGGCAGAAGCGGGTTGGAGATGTTTTAGGAAGTCGGTTGGTCCAGAGATGGACCCATAGAGCAAGCAGCCAGGCTGCTCAGGAGGTTAGGAGGGGGTCAGCGAAGCCTGGAGTCTGTAAGGCAGGAGGCTGTGGAAACTCACATGGCCAGGGGCCAACAGTGGCTTGGGCTGAAACAAAGATTTAAATGACTTGCGGAGCGGGTGGCAGGCTGAGACCTAGAACTGAGACAAGACGGTCCAAGTGGGCTTGACAGCAGCACTTAGGTCTGAGGAAACTGCCAGGAACTGACTTCCAAGATAGACAGAAGCAAACCTAAATTGATGCTGGGCACTGTAAGTGGCTGATTGACATTTATTTATTGATGTTTTATGTAGGTAAGACACTTCCCTCGTTAAAAAAGAATCTGTGTTGAGATTAAGCTATTGTTGGAGATGCTGGAGCCTGGTTCCCGGCTCCCAAATCCTACGTCTGAACCTTTCTAGCTATGTGGCCTGTGTTACACCTCCCTGCCTCAGTTTTCTTATCCACAAAATGGGAACAATAATAGTACTGTCATCCCTCAGTATCACAGGGGATTGGTTCCAGGACCCCATCACAGACACCAAAGTCTGAGGATGCTCGAGTCCCTCCTATGAAATGGCGTAGTGTTTGCATGTAGGCGACAGCAGGGCACATCCGCATATCACTCATTCACCCGGATTGGGTGTAATGCTTGGTGAATTCAAGTTTTGCTTTTTGGGACTTTTTCCCGACTATTTTCAATCCGTGTGGAAGGTGACACCTGCGGATATGGAGGACCGACTGTACCCACCTCACAGACTTGCTGGGGATGAAGAGGGCTAATAGGAAAGACTTAGGATCCCATCTAGATACTGCAGTTCTGATCACTTACTAAAGGGGAAAGATGCAGGAGAAGGTTGGAGGGGCCTCATTTCCGAAGTCACAGCCCCAGAGAGGAGACTGACTCCATCACACGCTGGCAGTGAAGGGAGAATGCCCAGCACCAGCTGGCCTCCTCTCCTGGCACCGTGGGCTTTGGTTGGTCCCACTTTGCAGAAGACGTCTGACTCTACTTCGGCCCAAATGACCGCCACTTCTCCCATCTCCTGTGCTGGCTTCCTCCCCTCCTCCTCCCCATGAGCCTCTTTGGGACTGGAATGCAGGCCGTGGGTTGGAATAAATACCTTCAGCTGCTGAAACTGGTGCTGCATCCTTTCTTGAGCCCTTTCAAACATGCCCTCAGCCACCTGCTGGTCCACCCCTCTTCTGATGACATCTTTCATCCTCTCACACGCTTTTTTGCCAGTGATCTGGGCTGCCTCTGGCAAAAATGATAGTCACAGTTACACCACAGCAAGGGCTTGTGCAGAAACCATTAGCATCAGCAATAAAGACAAGCAAAGAAACCATATATATATACAGGTACATACACACACACACACACACACACACACACACACACACATATAGATGCACACACATATATTTATGTAGGTAGTACCATTTTCTACACAGTGGAAATAGTTTAATACAAAAATTAACACTCTCAATATTTAGATAGCTATCATTCAGAAAATCGAATGAGTGAATTAAGCAGAAGCTTACAAAATTCCAACCCCTGGCCTCCCCAAGAAAATAAGGGGCTACCAAAATGAGAAGAAGATATGAAGAATGTTTACAAATACTTAAAAAGAATAAGAATGAGAACTGGGTGATGGATTTTATATTTTAACTGGAGGCCCAGTGCACAAAATTTATGCACTGGTGTCCTTCAGCCCAGCCTGTGTCCTCTCGCAGTCCGGGAGCCCTCGGGGGATGTCTGACTGATGGCTTAGTGCTGTCTCAGAGGGGGGGGAGGCTCCTGCCACCACCACTGCGCTTGCCAGCCTGTGAGCCTGGCTTCTGGCTGAGCAAAGCTCCCCCTGTGGGAGCGCACTGCATTGAGCGTCTGTTCCCTGGTGGTCAGTGCGCCTCATAGTGACCGGTCGTTCTGCCGTTTGGTTGATTTGCATATTAGCCTTTTATTATGTTGCATTACCTGCGATGTAGCACAGAGAGGAAAAGCCAAGGTGTGTAGGCAAAGGAAGGACAGAGGGAACTGGCTACAGATAAAAATGGTTCAAGAGCTACCTCTTCCCACACCTTGCAATTGTTTGAATTGTTTGGTCTTAGTTTGTAGACCAAGGGTGTCAGGGGGACGTAGGGCTTAGGGGACTTTGAGGGGAGCCACGGGAAAGGATGCTGTACAGACAGAGGGAGGGAGCAGAACTGCCTCCCTCCGGAGCCCCACCTTCGTAGCAGGGCTTCAGGTCGTTCTGAACAGAGCTGGTGAGCGACTCATAGATCCTCCTCTTCTTCCGGAGGATGTGGCCCTCCAGGCCCCCCAGGATGGCGCTTATCTGAGAAACCGCATGAACAGAAGGCCATTTGTGACAATTCCTCCAACAGAAATAGGTCAGGAATTCCTGCCCATAGTCACCATGTCCCTCTGCCTTGTGGTACAGGCGGCTCCCCACAGCTGGACGGTGTCCTCCCCATGTCCTCCCCACAGCTAGCCTGCGAGCCTCTCACAGGCAGAAACTGTGTCTTCAGCATCTTTACATCCCAAAGTGCTTCCCACGGTGCCTGGCACCTACAGACACCCCGTTAAATATTTGCTGAGTTGGGCTCTGGCACGTCTGAGATGCTGAAACCGGACCTTTTGTGGGGGGACAGTGGGGGAGGAACAGGCTCTTTCTCTAGCGTTGCCATGGGATGTGGGCATGGAGGTGCTATGGACTGAATACGGTGTGCATGGCACCTCCGGCCACTGAGCTCTGTGCCCCCTCTTCAATTCATATATTAAAATCCTACCCGCCAATGTGATGGCAGTAGGTGGTGGCCCTTTGGGAGGAAATGAGGTCATGAGGAGGGGGCTCCCCTGGTTGGGATTGCTCCCCTATAGAGGAGGCCCTAGAGCACCCCCTCGCCCCTCTGCCATGCGGGGGTACGGAGAGAAGACAGCCGTCTCTGCACCAGGAAGCAGGTCCAACCAGATACCAAGTCTGCTTGCGCCTAGACCTGGACTTCCAGCGCCCAGAGCCGTGAGAAACGCATCTCTGCTGTTTGCAAGCCACCCAGTTTATAGTGTTTTGTGAGAGCAGCCCAGATGGACTCAGGCAGCCTTGGAGAATATGGGCCACAGGCAAAAGCCTTGAGTACTCAAAACTAGAAAACGATCTGCAAAAATATGATACTTTACGCTTCACTGCTTTGGATGATACTTCAAAATATTGGCAAAAATGATAGGAAGGTTACTGAAAGCATCACAACTGGACTCCAATGTTTGTACATCTAAGGAGCCTTTGAAGATTCTTCCTGGAAACGGATCTACTGTACAGCCTCGGCGTTTGCCCTCGGTTGCAGGGGGAGGAAGCTGCCCTGGCGTCCTCCGCCTCCACGGCTGAGTCAGGACCGCTGCTCTCGCCCCACCCATCTCTGTTGTGTAGCTCACAGCTCCTGCTATGTGTTCCCCAGACCCCAGACACTGCAGGGGGACAAGTCCGGAGAGACAGGCAGCGTCCCAGAACCTGTGGGGAAGAAACCCACCACCCAACCTCATTCCTCTCTTCACAATCTACGGATCTTACCTCCTGGATCAGGAAACTTCTTTTGTAGCTATCATGTTTCCAGCCATTTCTTATCCCAATTTCCGTCATTTTCTCCTGGAGAGAGTGCTTAAAAGCATCTATGTGAGGCATCAAAGCTGAACCGGTGGGCGTTCCAGTCCTACAGACGAAAGCAACGTAATATGTCAGAGGCGTCAGTGGCTATTGTGAGGCTAAAACAAAGAGGAAACCAGCTGGTACCCTTTTATTCATTTGAAGAGAAGGAGGACGAGAAAGGACTTGTATCACATTCCTATCACACGTCGGGCCTTGTGCTGCACCAGGCCCTTGACAACAAAACCTACGAAATCAATGCAATGATGCCCATTTTACAGATAAGAAAACTGAGGTTCAGAGGAGATTGCTGATGGGGTCAAGGCCACATAGCTAGTAAGTGGCGGAGCCAGGCTTTGGACATTGATCTGTTTAATCTCAGCACTCAGGTTTTCCATTGCCCAGCTGTTTCCACTCGAAAGGATGGGACTTGAACTATCCCTGAGGAGACAGGCAAGATTTAGGAAAATGAAAAGAAGGGCTTTTTCACCATATGCACAAGATAGTGCAGGAAGCGTCAGCACATTCCAGGAATAAGAAGCAGCAGGTGTAGAAGAGAGGGCGTCGGCTTGAAATCCTAGCTCTTATGAGCTGGGCGGATCTCAGTTTGTTCACCAGTAAAAAGACAGAAACAACCCAGCCAGTGTTGCTCAGTGGTTAAGAGTTGACCTATGAACCAGGAGGTCACGGTTCAATTCCTGGTCAGAGTACATGCCTGGGTTGCAGGCTCAGTCCCCAGTGTGGGGCGAGCAGGAGGCAGCCAATCAATGATTCCCTCCCATCAATGTTTCTCTTTCTCCTTCCCGAACCCTTCCTCTCTCTGAAATCGATAAAAATATATTAAAAAGAAAAAGACAGAGGGTTATTGGGAGGATGCGAGGATATAACACACCCAAAATACTTAGCATGGTTCCTGGTAAATGTCTGTTGCTCCCTCAAAGCTGGCTAAAGCAGGGGACCAATACTGGGCCACAGCTCGGGGAGAGATCAGAAAGGCCAGTGGAGGCAGGTGGAATGTCTTGAATGCCATTCTAAGGAATTTGGTGGGATGGGGTGGGGTGGGGTGGTGTAGGGTGGATATACGAGAAATAGTATGATCCCAAAAGAGTTCAAAGGAAGGTGGGGGTGGCGAAGGGGGCACTGAGTAAGAATCAAGCGAAGGCGGAATGGTGCGAGCAGGTGGTAAACCTGGTGAAATGCCAGAGGCAAAGGCAGGAGGCTGGGGACAGGTTGGAAGTTTAGGAAATGATGTTTCTGTGGATGCAGAGAAGGATTGGCGGTCAAGGAAGAATGGAAGGAGGGGATGCGTGGAGGCACATCCCCCTCCCACGCCACGTTGGGGAGCATGGGAGCAAACGGAGTCCTCCGTGAGTCACTTCTCTTTTTTGCATTCAGGGAAATTTATGGAGGCGATGTGTTTGCTTAACTCCACGCTCTCCAACCAAAATACCCTATCCTGGGCTTGGATCCATAAGAAAGTTTATCCCCTGCTGCATGTGTGAGATATTTGAAAAAATAATGGGAATCATAACATTAGTCCGAAGGCAACATCTCCCTCTGCACTCCAGGTCACCATGGGAAATTTCTGAAGTAAAGCAAACCAAGGAGGCTTTTGTGTTTGGCCAAAGAGTACACTTTCCTCCTCGAGTTGCAAGCGACTCTTTTCACTTCCAAATCCAAAGTACAAATTCTTAAAGACGAGACTCCGGCCCAACATTCTTCAGATGTTTGTTCACAAAGGAATATGAGGAAAAGATCTTTTACCTAAAAATGCCTCCAAAAACAGGATCAATCTGGTCATAGATGGGCTGAGTGATGGCTTCATTCAGATCTATTCTTGCCAGAGTCCTGGAGGCATAGATGCCGTTCTTCAGGCAAACAGCCTTCAGAGTTTGGTGAAAACCTTGATTGCCTCTGCTCCTCTAGGTAAACAAACCGCAGGTTAGTAGAGTTAGTGGGCATTAACCAGACAAGCACAAGGTCAGAATTGCATTGCCTTTGGCCAACGGCTATTACCAAGAATCACAGTAGCAGCGACATAATCTTTTAACTCATGACTAAGCTGGACAGAGAGGGTAGCAGTCGTGTCTTAAGTCGGTGGGGTGCTCTGTCCTGGGTTTGCAAAGCGCCCTGTAGTCACTTTGCTCACAGCTCTTCTCATACCGTGTTGCATTTGTCTATTTATTCATTAGGCTGCTTTACTGGACCATCAGCCCGTTGAGATCAGGCACAGTGTGTCTCATCCAATACCCTGGTGTCCTTGCCATCTGGCAAGGGCATAAGGAGTGCTTGGTAAATATTTGTTAAATGAGCAGTTATTAAATGAAAATGTGCTACGACCCTACTGGGAGTATCTGTTTCAGGTTTTTGCAAGTATAGTCCAAGTTTTTTTTTTTAATACTTTTTGTTAAATATTTAATGAAATGCAATTTGATTTATGTATCGTTGCGATGTTTTTTCCCAGAGAAATAAGTTCACAAATCAGAGGGGAAAATACCATGAAGCTAGAGTTATAAGAGACATTGATAAATTTTAGCCAGATGGTGATCCTTAATAAAGAGGATTAAAAACACATTGACTCTGCCCTGGGCGGGTAGCTCAGCTGGTTGGAGGGTCATCCCATATACCAAAAGGTTGTGGGTTTGATTCCTGGTCAGGGCACATACCTCGGTCTGGGGTTCAATCCCCAGTCAGGGCATGCATGGGAGGCACTGATCCCTGTTCCCTTCCCACATTGATGCCTCTCTCTCTCTCTCTCTCTCTCTCTCTCTAAAATCAATAAGAGCCTATCTCGGATGAGGATCTTAAATAATAACAATAATACATTTGCACTAACCAAAATTTCAGGAGTGGGCTTTGGATCATTCTTCAATGATATATGTTTTAAGGGAATATCTTTCAAGTGAATGGCTGTGTGGCATGATACAACTGGCATCATTCTAACCATCTATCTATCTATCTATCTATCTATCTATCTATCTAACTATCTATCTATCTTATTAGTCTTCCCTTTTCACTTATACTACAACATGAGCATTTCCTTAATTCATTGTACATACTTAGAAAAAAATCATTTTAATAACCGCATAATACATCCTATGGACATATCATAGTTCATTTTACTATTCTCTTGTTATTAGACATTTGGGTTATTTTACTATGTTACATAATGACATGAGGTTAACATACAAATGTTTGCCCAAACTTCCGATCACAAAGGCAAGTTGCTATCAAATAGGAACACGTAGGGTATGCTGATAGTCACAGAGAAAGAAGCTGATGAAAGGGGACAATTCACGGGATGAGGACCTGGTGACGCCTGACGATGGCGAACACACTCCTTCCTTTGACAAGCAAATTGTCTCTTACCTATCTCCTGCTATGAAACCAATGACCCCAAACTTGGCGGCTTAAACAACAATAAACATCTCTCCTCTCTCACAGATCCTGTGGGTCAGGGATTCAGATTGGTGTTGGCTGGCTGGTGTTTCACAGTTCGTTTGGTGGCCAGGCTGTGCAGCCAAGGTTAAAGCGCAGATAAGTGCCACCAGAGAAGAGACCAGTGCAGGATTCAAGGTCACGGAGGTCAGATAACATGCACACCAGGCTCAAGTGGGGCAGTGTTTACTTATAGCAAGAGGAGGGGACATGTGCACAAGATCCAGCCAGCCTATGGCAGTGCCTGGGTCCCCCAAGGCCAGCGGATCCACTCCCCAGCCAATGCAGGATCCCACCCCCTCCCACGGTTCAGAAATACAGAAAACGGGGGCTTGCCCGAGGGCCTCTGATGCCTGTCCTAAGCAGAACAAAGGAGTACACACTGAGCACGAAATGGAAAGATATCCCCACACAAGCAGAGAAGCCCAGCACAGGCTGGGAGGGTCTTTATCTCCTGGAAGGAAGCGTGCCAGGACCAAGGCCCATTCTTATGTGGCCACGTGAGCGTCCAAAGGCAGCTTGTACTACGGGCCTTTCCCAGCGCCAGCCAGTCTGTCTCAGGGCTTCTCGGTGAGGTTCCGTCAGGTGTCGGCTGGGATCATGGTCACCTGTCTGGGGCTAGAGAATCTGCTTCCACGGACGCTCACTACAGGGCGGGGAAGGTGGTGCTGGCTGTGGGTGGGGACCTCGGCCCCTTTCCACACGGGCCTCTCCACACAGCTGATGGCTTCAGCACAGGGAGGCTGGCTCCCCTCCGAGCGAGTGATCGGAGACACCAGCGTGGAAGCCTCAGCAGCCCTTGATGACCGACCCTCAGAAGTCACACACTGTCCCTTCGGCAGCACCCTGCTGCCCACAGAGGCCAGCGCTGTCTGTGTCAGTGAGGGGGAGACTCCCCAGGGCGTGAATACCGGGGTGAGGCTCCCGCGGGCCATCTCGGAGGCTGCCTATCACAGTCACCAATGAGCACTCTCCATGGTCAAATCCATTGCCTTTTTATCACCCCGATTTCCCTCAGGAGCATCTAACATTCTGCTTAACAACCGACGTGTGATCTTTCCTGCTTAGTTTTCTTATTAGAAAATAAGAACTGACGCTTTACATTACAAGTAAGTACAAAAAGTAAGAATATAAGCATTACACGATTTCCCCTTCTCCTACTACTTCTCAGACTCATCTTTCTCTGCCCCCTCTCCTGGCAGCGTTTTATTCTGCTCTAAATGTGGCCTTTGTTTGAGGTTATAGTGTATTATTGTCCTTCTCTCTATTCTTCAATACCTTTCACTCCTATAGGTCCGAGTATCTATTTTCTGCAGGTGACTACCAAGTCCTGACCCTGGGGATCAGGCAGACGTCACCAGACACCACAGGTTTTCCCCGGAAAGGGTCACTCACCACCAGACAGGCCCCGAGGATCCGTCGGTAGGAAGTCCTGGCATTTCTGACCCCTTCTTGCAGAGGCCGGGCGATGTGGGCAAAGCACTGGTCGATGGCCTTCTCCAGCAGCTGTATTTTCTCTTCCACAAATCTCCGCAGGCCACTCAGGTGCAAGTGTTCGTTCTAGGGACAGGGTCATAAGGAGCATGAGGCCACCCCCACCCTCAAGGCACTTTCTCCTCAAAGGTTGCTTCCTTTAAGCATGATTCAGCCTGAGCAAACCACCCACAGTTGACTTCTCCTAGTCATCCAGTGAATGAACATCCTTAAGCTTTGAGGGACTGGAGAATAGAACAACTGTATGCCTCCTGCAACTTACCTCAGGTGTACAATCCATCAGGCTATGTGGGGGAGCAACTATCCAAATAAAAACCCAATTGTTACTAAAACAAACTTTTCCAATGACATCTGAATCAACACACATTGAATGAGCTTTGACTTTGCACAAAGCAGTTTCGGAGGCTGGTGTTTCTCAAACTTTAATGTGCAAATGAATCCCCAGGAGAATTTGTTCAAGTCTGAGGGCCTGGGCTTCTCTATTTCTAAAACCCCCAGGGGAGGCGGATCTTCTGGGCCCTGGACCACACTTTGAATAACAAAGCTACAGGACCCAAAATAGGGCTCCGTCCCTTCTTCAAAGGAGAATACAATGTAGTCAGGGAGGAAAATATCTATTCAAGTAATAAAAGGGAGGGACCACCAGGGACAGCCTTGGACTTTAGGTTGAAACTGGGAACCGTAGTGTCTGTTCCCTGTGTGAGAACCTTGGGGGATGTGCAGCAGGCAGAAACCACACTCTTTACTTGGCACTTAAAGCCCTTCAGAGCCAAACATGCCATTACTTTTGTGACCTCACGCCTTTGCACATGCTGTTCCCACCTTCTCACCCTTCCAGACAAAGCTCAACAGTCACTTCCCATGCGATGCCTCCCCTGACTCCCCCAGGCAGAGCTGGGGTTCTCTTCCCCACGTCCCCTGCATTTCGACATCCCTGCGCCACAGCATTCCTCCTGCTGTGCAATGTCTCTCTTCCCACATCTCCTCCCCTGGACTAGGAACTTGCTGAAGGGAGAGACTACGTTATTCGTGTTTGTTTATTCCAAGGCAAGGCACAGAGAGTGCAGTCCAGAAACATTTATAGAGTGAATGAGTAGCACAGAGAACTATGGATAATGTAGGTTTATAGATTCTATCCCAAACTTGATGGAAGAAATAGCTCTTGAAATGATGTGCGACCTTAACAGATGACTTAGCTTCTCTGCATCTCGATGGTACCGTCTTTGAAATAAGTAGATGAGGCTGAATGATCCTGAAAACAGCCTCAAACTCCTGTACTCTGTGAGTCTTAGAGTTGATGAGCCTTAGATTTAAGGACACTATTTAGCTTTAGGCATGCCTTGGGGATTTTTGTGGTTTCACTGGTAAGAATTCTATAAGCCATACTTTTATTTTTTTCTAGTGTCCTCTAGATTCTTTTGAATTTGTGGCTGGTGATCAAAATGAAATAAGAGCGAAGCCATGAAAAGAAAATCTATGGGCAGGATTCTCAGAAAGTCTCACTCTCACCAAATCCCTGTTGGGGGAAAAAATGATAAGAAAGGAAAGGGCTGAAGATAAAAGAACAGTAAATAAGGGGCGGGGGGGGCTGGCAACTACTTTGAGTAAATGCAGGACTCATGTGACACTGAGATGTCATAATCAACTTCCTACTGACTCTTTAAAGATAATGAGTAGAACTCTGTTCATTTAAAATCACTAACTACCCAACTCTAATTCTGTTTTTGTTTTGAGGCACAATCTTAAAAAATGACCAATCACGTATATTTTTAGGTTTGATATTTTTAAGAATGCAAGGGAACTGACAAAACTCTTGCCTTCCAACTTTCCATCAAAAATTAAGGCTGAGACCAATATCTGAGGCCAAAGAATCTTGAAGAAAGCTGCTGGCAACTCCCTCTAAGAGGTTATCACGGAAGTGCCAACCCACCCCCTCCTCTGTGTTTTCTGTGGCCTGGAGTCTGGTTGCGAGGATGGGACTGAGCCGCTACAAGGGCCGCACCTCCGCATCAGCGGAGAAGAGCATGTGGGGCTGGCACTGCGAGTCTGATTGCAAAATGCCTCGTCCGTGTGTTTGTAAAATAAACCAACCACACACAGCACCACATCTGATTGGTTTTCCATCAGCACTTCCAAAAGCAATCTTATGCTGGGCAGGGAGGCAACTTTCACCCTGAAGAACTTTTTCAGGAAGGTAGAAGGTTAAACCTTTCCCCAGTATTTCAGAGGACAAAAGTCAAATTGGAAAATCTCAGATTCCAGGAGGGTCTCTCCGCACCCCCCGCCACCCCCCCCACACACACAGAACTAGAACAAAACAAAGCATAAGAAGTGTGATTTTTTTTAAAAAAAAAAGACAGTGAATCTTGCCCTATAGTTCACTTGTATATAGAATTTTAAAAATGTGGACATTTGACCAAAACTGCGTAGACCAGTGGTCGGCAAACTCATTAGTCAACAGAATCAAATATCAATAGTACAACGATTGAAATTTCTTTTGAGAGCCAAATTTTTTAAACTTAAACTATATAGGTAGGTACATTGTTATTAACTTAATTAGGGTACTCCTAAGGCTTAGGAAGAGCCACATTCAAGGGGCCAAAGAGCCGCATGTGGCTCGCGAGCCGCAGTTTGCCGACCACTGCCGTAGACCATCTGCAGTCGGCATTGCTTACTTTTCACATTGAAGTCAGGTCTCCATTATCTGCCTATTCTTGCCATTCCCAGGCCCATCCCAGGCTCACTGTCCCTCATTCTCAGGACCTTGAACTCTCATCGAGCCCTACGGGTCCACTTTCTCTACCCCTTTCCTGCTCTGCATATCAGCAAGGCAGACAACTTGTATAAATCTGGTGGTGAAAGCAAGTGTGGAAATAAACCCCAACCCAAGAACACAGGAAGCCTACTAATCAGAGGTTGCTATGGCCAGGCAGTCAGCTGCCATCACTTGTGTTTGGCAGAGACTCAAAGGCAGGTGGTGGAAAGGCTTTGGGTGTGCCCTGATTGGAGCTCAAGGGCCTGGGAAGCTGTAGGTGGGCTAACGGGAGCAGGGGTCCTGTGTGACTCAGTAGAGTGTGTACTTGGCCTTCTCCAGTTGGTCCTAAAATGGATGCATGGATAAAGATGAGGGAAGCTGTCGTTATTCATTAAGGTCTGGCCATTTTGGGTTGATTGTTACAGAAGTTATTGTTTAGCTTCTGGGATTGTTAAAGAGATAGTAGTCTGACTTCCTACAAGTCTAACTGACAGCAGGCTGGCTTCCTGAGCTGGTCCTTGTCAATAAGGGGTTGGTTTCCTAAACAGGTTGCTGCAGGCTGTGGGTCAGAATTTTTTCTTTATACAGTTGACCCTTGAACAATATGGGAGTTAGGAGAGCTGGCCCCTGTGCAGCCGAAAATCCGCATACAGCTTTTGACTCTACTAAACTACTAATGGCCTGCTGTTGACCCGAAGCCTTACCGATAACATAAACAGTCAATTAGTCTTATAATACATTAAGCAAGGAAAAAGAAAATGTTATTAATAAAATAATAAGGAAAATACATTTACAGCACTACATGTATTTATTGGGAAAAAAAATCACATCTAAGGAGACACGTGTAGTTTAAACCTGTGTTTTTCAAGGGTCAAGTGTATATGACTGTCTCTTTGTAAGTCAGTTCTTCCCAAGGAAGAAATGCAACTGGTGCTTGATTCCAGCAACAGCTGTTTCTCCCAAACTCTCTTATGCCTCTACTTTTGCAGCGTATCCCTCTAAAAAACAAAACACCCAGCAAAGAGATAAACTTGTTCATTACTATGAGAAAAGTAATTCTAACTGGTTATTGGGAAGGCCTGCGTGCTAACTGCGAAGGTAAATATCTGAGATCTTTGCTGAAAGTCCCCCTTGCTTTCCTTCTTCTCACACATTTGCTGCCTGAGTTTGAGGGTCTGACAGCACCAGGGCATGACGGGACTCCACAGACAGATACAAACTTGCAGGACTGTGTGCATACCCACGCCTCTGCAGCATAACCAAGAACTGTCTGTATTCCACTAGATTTACAGCGGTTCTCAACCTGTGGGTCGTGACCGCTTTGGCGGTCGAACGACCCTTTCACAGGGGTCGCCTAAGACCATCCTGCATATCAGATATTTACATGACGATTCATAACGGTAGCAACGTTACAGTTAGGAAGTAGCAACGAAAATAATTTTATGGTTGGGTCACAACATGAGGAACTGTATTTAAAGGGCCAGAAGGTTGAGAACCATTGCACTAGAAGTAAATAAACCACTCCTGCCATCGCTAAACACATTCCATCTTATGCAAGTCTCAGGAAAGGGGGAAGTAGCCACTGACTATTTTTACTTTTTCCTCTTAGTCCTTTTGTCCTAGGGAAAATGTTCTTTCTTTTTTTACTCAAATGTTATCATTTTAACCCTCTCATTATCTTTTTCTCCTCTTCAGATTCTCTGAGCTTAGTATCTTCCTTTGATATGAAAAGAAAAATAATGTCATGATTTCCTAACTTTGCAAAAAGGAATGTTCAGCCCAGGGCGGGAGGCTGAGATGACAGCCCAAGTGGCGTCCGTACCGGCAGGTTTTCCGTGCAGTTGAAACTGTCTGTGAGGAGCAGCAGGCCAAAGGCTTCCGTAACGTACTTGGTCACCATCCTCCTCTTCTTCTCCAAGAGCCTTCTCCTGATATATTCTCTTAACTTGGGGATTTCTGGGATTCACAGGCAGCACAAACAGTTTTATAAGGCCGGAGTTCACAGTAACTAGAACTCATCAGAATGAACAGATTGGGGTGGCGGTCTGAGTTAACTACTGTTGAGGTCCTATGTGGGCTGGGAGCCCCCTAAACCAGCCTTTCTGAGGACCTGCTTCCCAGGTCTGGGATCAGCAGTAATGATGGTAAATCGGCAATGACGACTATGGATTTTTTGTAGCAGTACGAAACAAACTATGGAGAAAAGTGTAAGTTGGTTTAAAAAAATTGACACTTCCCTCTGGATGAGTACTTACCTGAATCATGAAACCAAAGTGCTCACATGTTAGAGTCTCAGCTCTTCAGTCCCCCTAGATCAGTGATGGCAAACCTTTTGAGCTCGGCGTGTCAGCATTTTGAAAAGCCTTAACTTAACTCTGGTGCCGTGTCACATATAGAAATGTTTTGATATTTGCAACCATAGTAAAACAAAGGCTTATATTTTTGATATTTATTTTATATATTTAAATGCCACTTAACAAAGAAAAATCAACCAAAAAAATGAGTTTGCGTGTCACCTCTGACACGCGTGTCATGGGTTCGCCATCACTGCCCTAGATTTTTCTATCTATAACACATAACTTTTAATATCAAAGTAGTTTACGCCTGCTGTAGAAAGGGCTAAGACCTTCTGGTGACTGGGATTCCAGATTGGAAACTTACCTTAGCCCTAACCGTTTGTTAGTCAGAAGATGACAGAAGTCACTCTACTGTTTTCTCCATTATTCCTTTAAGTGGACGTTTTCCTATACTGCTACTTCTTGTATGTGCCCGACTGGTTTTTTCTTTTATATCCTTGTTCAAGCAGTTCCCCAATTTCTGGGAACATGTCACACCTTCTACTCCTTAACTCATCCATGTCTAGTGACATGCATGCACATTTTAAGCCATTGTAAGCTCAGGTCAGTGTCAAGCTCAGATCCTGCCTCCTCACCATTTTCACTGAGAATTCCAGTCACACATCTCCAGGTTCTGTACTCATGGTCTTGTTTTCACTTCGATTTTTGCAAAATCCAGGCATGGTAGCTTCTAGATTTTAAGTTGTATGAAGAAAGGGGCCATGTCTTCTACTTTTCCCGCCCACAGACGAAACATACAATAGATACTCAGGCAATTTTCTAAGACTCATAGGTGGGCGCATGAAGAATCTCAAGCCAGATACTAACCGGATCACTGACCTTTACCAACTTGGGGTAAGATTTGGAGAAGAGGGGAATTGTGGTCTCAAGGCACCACCACAAAGCAGTGAAAACAAACATATTGCCTAATAGGTACAGAAACTGGTAAACTGGAAGTATGGCACCAATAGTTCTAGGGTGGGAAATTCAGAGCACCAAATTAATCTTGAGAATTTTAGCGATTGAGTGTTTTTTTGTGTGTGTGTTTTCGTTTTAATTACCAGTTTCCTCTTCAGTGAGGAGAGCCTGCCACCAGTACTCCTGGGCGCTGACTGTGTACACCAGATTGGAAGCTTCCAGAACCTTGGAGTCAGCCGGCAATTTTCTCTGAAGTAAGAGAGGCAGAGAAGGGACAGAATAACTCATTCATGGCAAAGAAAACAAGGCAGACCTCAAGAGAGCCTTCAGCAGATTTCAGCTCATTCGCTTTCGGTTCTATGAGAGCCCCATAAGGAACAGACAACATTCTGTATGTCAGGTGTTCCTATCTGTCTACACCTCACAAGGTCAGAAGTTGTTCAGAAATTGCTGCACAGAAACTATTGTCTTGGGAGTTAAAATGGTAATTCTAAAAGGAAATGCAGAGAGAAAATAATTCAAAAGTATGTTTAAATGTCCAGAGAGGGGAAAGTGCCAGGATTCTTTTTGGAAAAAGAAGCACAACCCTGGAAAAGGCAGTGATGTGCTGGAGGCAGCTTGTACCAGCTCTGAGAGCCAACTGTACATACACAGCTCTCCCCAGCTCTGTCTTCAGCGGCATCACACTGATAGGTTAAAACTAGCAATGGTGGGAGTATTTACACCATGGGAATCGGCAAACATTACAAATCATCCCCCTCCCCTTTTTTTAAAAAAATAGAGCTGATTACTAAATACTTCTCAGCACAATACAAAACTGGAAAAAGGTTCTATAAAAGTGCAAGTTTTTGAGCTGGGTGGTTAGTGAGTTATCATACACATTTAAGTGTGTGTACGAAATAATGCTTAAGCAAATTTCTTAAATGTCAAGAAATTAAGAATCCGGTGAGAAAATTTTTATGATGAGAAAAACATCATCACAGAGAAATCATACTAGAATTATGTATAAATGTTGTTCCATAATCTTCCATTTATCTCACCCGAAAGAGAAAAACCATAAAGAATGTGCGTATGGTTATCTGGGGGTGGTAGACAAGAGTAGAGAGTTGTCAATCTTTTTGAGGCAAAGATAGGCAAGAGCTGAGTACGTAGTCCCCTGGCAGAGGGGAGAATCCATATCCCTGGCAAGCTGTCAGCCCATGTCGTCAAGGTTGCGCTGGAGCTGCGGGCGAGGCTTACAGGAGCCCCGTCCACGCGAGTAGTAGTTGTGTGACAGTAAAAGAGAGACACCCAGGAGAAGAGTAGGTTTTCTCTACAGGTGTGCTCAAGCAAAAGCAAAATGCTGTATAATAACCAGTTCAAGTAGCATGCCTGAGAGAGTCAAAACCCAGCTCTCATTTGCCAAATACCTGTGGACTGACCTCCCTATATCTCTTGAATATATCTCCTCTATTCCTGTAGTGACTGCCTATTTCAGACGCTTAACTAACCCTCACAAATGGTCTGTCTATATCCAGTCTTCATACAATCCTCTCCCCACCCTTCCATTCACCATATTGCTGAGAAAACAGTCTTTCTACAATGCATAGTACAGTTGAACCTTGAAGAACATGGGTTTGAACTTTGCGGGTCTGCTTATACTTGGATTTTTTTTTTCAATTGACCTCAATTCAAACCCACATTGTTAAGGGTCTCCTCACTTTGGGAATCTGTGTATGCAGAGGGCTAACTGTGGTTATACACATATTATTTGACTGCACAGGAGGTCGGTACCCCTAACTCCCACATGTTCAAGGACAACTGTATTTCCAAACCGTTGTCTATAAATGTACTCTCCAGGGTCTGTAATTTTTCTTACAATATTTTTCTTAGTTTTTATAATAAAAAAATAAGCATGGACACCTTTATGAATGACTCCTTTATGGTCAACCTCTGTCTCATCTTTTCTATAATTAAAATTAAATTTGCTCCAAATGAAAACATGAAGTACAGGTAATTCACAATAATTCAAATGGAAACAAAGGGTTGGAGAATGATGGCATCACCTAGCTATCAGTAGGGTAGGTGTTCAGACCTCAAAAGAACTTGTACTGTAATCGTCAGAACCATAGTCACCCCACAGGCCGATGTATTGCGACCACACCCTATTTTGCATACACACCAATTTGCCACATTCGTGAGCAATAAATATAGTTTTTAATTGTGTATTGAAACATTTTATGTTTCTATTTCCAGAAACAATACAGTTAGGTACTCATAAAGGGCATATTTTTTAATGTCACAAAAACGATTATAAAGAATAAGAACAGCTTTTCTGAATTATTGCCTCGTTAAAACCAGCATTCAAGAATGACTTGTTAGAAGACATTGGCTTAAGTATGAGGTCTGATTATTCTAAATTAGAAACAAAAGCTTTGAAATTTTCAATTCCACATTGCGCTTCAGACATTTTCTGCATGGATGTAATTGAAGTCAAAATACAGACAGCAGTTAAATATCGAAGTGGACATAAGGCCATATGTTTTTACTATTAAACCCAGCACTGAAGATTTCATTTCAGCAAAACCATATCACCTATCACATTATACTAACTCAGATATGGTCGTTTTGTTTATATTTTATCTGAAAATTGGTTTCAGTTTTATAGTTGTATAAGACTTGATAGTAAGGAGTTTTATGTGTGTACTAGTACTTATTTCAGTGACAGACAATAAAAATAATTTAAGAAAACACTAAGAGTCCCACAGACAATTACACAACCTGAAAGATAGAGCTCAGGCCTTACCCCCCAACACCCATGCATATACTTTTTGCCGAGCTCTTTGAAACTACTTACATTGAGCTCACCGTACAGAACAGGCTTTTGCAGTCATGTTCTTCCCTCCATCTCAAACGCTCTTTCTCCTACTTCTTCCCGTTACTGAAGAGACTGGTTCTTTAATATTCAGCTCACGAGGCTAAGCATTTTCCCTGAACCTCTGCCCAACACCACCTCCCTGACAGCCAATGTGATTGAGCATTCTCCTTCTGTATTCCCACACGCCCCATGCATTGCTCCAGCCAAGCATACCTTCACTGTATGGTGATCCCTAATTTCACCTGCACGTATTTCTCAGCAGACCGTATGCTCATTCAATGCTTCCAACAATCGTAAGAGGTAGATATTGTTATTTCCCATTTTCCAAATGAGAAAATGGAGGTTCAGAGAGGCATAGTACTTTGCCTAAGGTCACAAAGTTATTAATTAATAGAACTAAGTTAAGTCCAAACTGTCTACACCCAAACTTTTGTCCTTGCTACTGCCCAAGACCAAGTAGACATTCGTTTCTCAGAATCTGAGTGGTTGAAACGCAGAAAAATACGTAGGGAAATCCATTAACTCACCTTTAGTTTTTCCTTGAGAATTCTATTCCTTTGTAGTTTTATCATTTCATTTCTTTCTAAAACAGCTTCTCGCTGACTTTGAATAGCTTGCTAGATTGTGAAGGGAAACAGAAGCATGGCAAAGAATACACAATTATCAAGAGCGATGACGTGCAAGATGCATGTTTTACTAGCAGATCTTCATTTGGCCCAGACAAATGTGCATGTATTTAAATTATATAATATTAATCACCAAAAGTATTATTTAAAAATAACTAGTCCATGCATATGTCCAAGATATTTACATTAAATGTGTGCAATTTGGGGGTATATCAATTATATCTTAGTAGAGCTTTAAAAATTAAAAATAACTGGCTCATACTTACATTTCCCACTTTCCTTTCCCTGAAATGAAATTAGAAAATTGTAACCATTAATTAACTCATTATGTGTCACGGTGGTCTTTTGACTTACCCCCAAAGCAGCAGATACTATCATGACTGTGCCTTTGCCTAAGCTCTTTCTTCAGCCCAAGTGCTCTCTCTTCTGATCCACCACCAGTGCCCATTTGAAAAAAAAAAGTGTCTTTATTTCTCAATGTTTTGTCATCGGTGGAATTTTCTGTGACTCACCCCCCTGACCCAAACAAAATGCCTCTCTCTCTCTCTCTCTCTCTCTCTCTCTCTCTCTCTCTCTCGGTTCCCACAGTACTTTGCTTGTCCCTCTCCTCTAAACTTTAACCCACTTTTTAGACAGTGACCTTGGTGACAAGGCAATATGCATCTCTGAATTCAGGGCCCCCATCACTGTGTTAAAAAAACATTTAATCAATGAGGTTGATTTAGGTTTAGTTTTAGAGCTGGCAATAGCAAGGGATAGCTTTATATATTGTTTTGTGGTAGGGGTTGAGGTGGATGAAATCTGCGGGGACAGGGAGAGGAGGAAAATGAAACTGAAATTCCAACCTAGACCATGAGAGCAAGAAGCTAGGTGGAGAAGCCTTGACCTATTTCTTCACTGAGGAAGTTTTCTATGCATAAATTCCTGGAGACACCAAACTCAAGTTACAGAGGGTGTGGGTGAAATGGAGGAGGTGACAGGTAAAGAAGCTTTTGTTAGAGCAGAGACGCATCAACAAAGTTATATCCCTGGACCGTATGTCCATATACCCAGCACAGCCCAATGTATACTGCTTTATACCTGCTGGTCCTTTGTAATAGCTAATATACCCCTTTCACTTTCAAAGTGTCCCAATGTGGAAGATAAGTTATAGTCTCCCTAGCTGTGTGTGTGTGGGGGGGGGGGGGGGCAGAGATCTACATGGAAATCAACATAAATCAACATCTACTAAACTCTAAGTACTTATCTTTCATTGTTGTTGTTGGAATATAATATGTAAGAATGCTTTTATTTTTGGCCAAAGTTCTAAAACTTTGAGAACTTTGTTCCAAATGGGTTTTAAAATCTCAGGAGTAGACAAATCTGAAAACAGAATCTGACACTTCAGTGCTACACCGTGCCAGAGAATATTCTAGAAAGTGCCTACTACCTGTGGCAGCATCTCCATATTCCATCTCTGGGGCCCAGGCAGGACCATCACACCACACTCGCGAGGGGCACCCCGGAACTATGGAGAGAATAGCCTGTTGGGTGTTGAGCAGCTACTCTGGGAGAGGGGCCACCGTGGTTCAGATCCCTGAGCCAGTCCGCTCAAGGGTCCTGACGTCCCAGCAAGTCCCCTAGACTTCTCTTGCATTCCCAACAGTCACTTCCCTGAATACACAATGCCCACCACGTCCTAAAGTCAACGCTCCGTCATCCCTGTGGTCAGGACCCATGGAGAAAAGCCCACCTCCCGGCAAGTCCAGCATGGTACCTTAGGTATTCCGGCAGGTGGAGTTTGTCGGTCTTGGTGACCACCAGGGCAATGTCCCTGCAGAAACCCCGCTGGCAGGCTTTGATGCTCTCATTCAGAAGGTCTTCGTGGGCTCTCCCTCCAGACACCCTCTCAATGTCAGTGATCACCCAGATCACTGAGCATTTATCAATGGTCTGTGAAGCATGACCACAATATGATTAAGAACATAAATGGTGTAATGGTTGTAGAAGACATGATTCCTTAATGTGTCATTTATGTCCTCCATGCTCTGCCTCTCTATGCTCCAGCCATGCTGAGGTTCCTTCAGTTTCTCAGATGTAATTCTGTCATCTCTCAGGGTTTTTGCACTTGCCACAACCTCTTTTTGACCTCCACTTGCCCTTTGAGAACCTGCTAAGGCCCTAAGGATGGGTTGGCCATCCCTCCTCTGCATCCTACAGCGCCCAGACTTCCCTGCCACAACACCTCTCAGGCAGAGCTGTTGTACAGGGTTGGCACTCTGCACCTTCCCCCATCCAGATTGTGAGGTACCTGATGGGAAGGGGCTGTACCGTTCAGCTTGGAATCCACCTCACCTCAAGCACAGTGTGTGGCTATAGCGGAGGCTTCTTAGATGTTTGTGGCATTAGTGATTGATGGAATTCAAGAAGTCAGATCTCAATGACCAGATCCTTCATTGGATTGCTTGGCCTTAATTGTCCTCTAGAGGAAATTATTGTTTTTCCAGAATGAGTTCTGGTCATGAATCTACCCCAAAACTATCATCCTTTTGATGTTTGACTGTCCCTGAATATTCAGCACCCTGCCATCATGTGTTAGCTGGGAGCCAGGAACTATCTGAGTCAAGTTACAAAAGTCAATGAACATGAAATTACAACTAATGACTAATAGCACAAATATTGCTATTATCACATAAGCAACTTCCATGTGATGAGTAATTGTGTGTTGCCTTGTGATGTTTCTCTTACTGTATTGCTTCACTTGTCTTCTCTCTCCCTAAAAATGAAAAGCTGGTCCAACTCAGCAATGAAGTTTATTTGTGGTTCTTTAGAACAGCTCTTTGCACATAAAGGTATGACAAGTTTGTGACTTGCTAATTAAGTCATTATTTTTGCTTTATACCGGTAGCTCTTAACTGGTGATGATTTTGTACCCCAGAGGACATTTGGCAATGTCTGGATACCTTTTCAATTGTTATGACATGGGGGCACTAGAGGGCGGAGGTCAGGGATGCTGCTAAACATCCTACAATGCCCAGGTCAGCACCTTCAACTGAGAATTTTCTGCCCAAAGTGTCAATAGTGCTAAGCCTGAGAAACCTTGACCTAGATTCATGGGGTTCAAACTTGTATTTTAACAGTAGAGCCTTTTTCAAATGAAATCTTACAAAGAATTCCAATTGGGGCCCTAGGTGGTTTGGCTCAGTGGATAGAGTGTCAGCCTGCGGATTGAAGGGTCCCAGGTTCTATTCGGTCAAGGGCACATGCCTGGGTTGCAGGTTCAATCCCCAGTAGAGGGCGTGCAAGAGGGCAGCCAATCAATGATTCTCTGTCATCATTGATGTTTCTATCTCTCTCTCCTTCTCCCTTCCTCCCTGAGATTAATAGAAATATATTGGAAAAAAAGAATCCCAGTTGGGGATGGAAGGTTTGGAGCCCCAACCTGGTCAGAACCCCCATCTCTGGTCATGAATCTCTTGGTTTCATGGGTCATTGTTTCAAAATCATCAATCTCTATAATAAGACAAGCTTTACTGTCTGTAGAGAAGACAATAGGCCTGAGAGGCAAAGGACCAGCATAAGGACACCCATGGGTCTGAATCTCCTCCCTGTGTGGATGAACTCACATCTACGTTGGGGGGGAGCGGGGGGAAAGATGCTCCCTCCCACTTCCCAAATTATAATCAACTTCAGGAAGGCTTCAGGCTATTCAGGCAGGTTGTGAAAGATCCTAGAATATCAGGCTGCAAGCTTTTCAAGGGCAGGTCCTTTTTCACCTTTATATTGTGAAAATTAATAATAAAATAATAAAAACTCATTTAAAATGGAGTCCGAAGGGTAGAAGAGAGAACTCTTACACTCGTCACTCAGCACACACTCCTGACCTCCACGGGAAATGACTTACCCTGCATCTCTAACAGGAAGTGACACCACCTCTCTGCCTCCTTGCCCAGTAACAGCCCAGCCAATGGGAGACGGCCATAACTCAATCAATAAAAGGTCACTATGCTCTGAACTCTCAGTTTACTTCCAATGGACTCTTTATTTACTACAGCTCCTCCCAAGACCGTGAAAGAGCATTCTTCTCCTTTGTTTCTCTGGACTTCTGTGTTGTTCACCATTAGACTGAATGTCCCGAATTGCAATTCTTTATTGTTCCTGAATCAACCCATTTTGCTGGAAAAATATCTGGCTGGCTGTTTGTTAAAGGTCAACAATTTTCCCCGGGGTCCTGGTAAACTACGGGGACTTAACAAATGTTGATTAACATGAGAAGAGGACTGCAACCAGAAGGTGGCAGTGGTTACGTTTCAGGCCCTCCACAATGCCCCTACCTGCCAGGATTTGGTCAAGTTAGCATTGAAGAGGACACCAAAGAGCTTGTCTCTAAGGAGTGACTGGACTTGGGAGTGGGTGGGATGGCACCTCTGCCACCCCATCTCCCTCCCTCCTGGAGTTGAGAATGGGCCTCGGAGAGTTCAGGTGACATGTCTAAGGCCTCAGGACTTCTAGGTGTCAGAACAGGGAGGTCTGGGTGCACAATTGTTTTCATTTAGGGAAGGCAAGCTGGCAGCTGGAGAGATGGGGCAGGGGTGTTGGCTCTGTTCTCCCTGGAAAGAAGGAAGTCTTTAGTAACTTCTTGTGAGAGGAGATCACAAAACCACAAGAATGCAGGGGAGCCAAGGCCAAGCAGAGCACGCTGGGAACCATCCCTTCGCTTCAGCCGGACCTCCTCAGAGCCGGTGTTCTGAGCCAGATCTGCTGGCTCCTCTATTCTGAGTGGCCTTTGATAAGCTGCCCAGTGTATCTGAACTGGCGGCAACCACGGCTCCATCCAGAGAGAGAAGCTGGCTGCCTCCCTAGGCTGTCGCTCCCTGGGCCTGGCCTGGAACTAACCAAGGCTGGCAATTCCTCTCCATGAGCCGAGACCCTGCAGAAACAAGGTTCTCATGGCCAGGCCTGCGCTGAAGGGTCGAGAAGAAGGCGACTGCCTTCATCTTAGAGAACTGTGAGGGGACATCCTGAGGGGGTGATAGATAAAGCCTCCGCTGGGAAGGTAGGAACCTGCCCTCTAGTTCAAATTCTGCCACTTGATAGCTGTGTGGTCTTAGGCAAATGACTTCCCCTCTCTGAGCCTTCATTTCTTCCCTGTAAAATCAGGGCATAGGCTGCTGAGCTATAAGCTGTCATACTGACCCTATCATCCTGATCTTGATTGGAAGCCAGTCACAAGGCTCCCCTTGCCCACCGTCCCGCAGCTTTGGCACTGATTGTGACTCACTGATACGGGCCCTTCCTCCCAGTCCACATCCAGCTCCGGTCCTGTGGCCGCTCTGTTCCCACCCTGTGCTCCTGAGCTCCTTCTGCCTAAAGATGCCCTTTCTTGCTCTATCACACACCCCGGTCCCTCTTGACCTTTGAGCTTCCCCAGGAAGCATGGTATTAAAGCCCACCCCCAACATTTCCAGGCTTGTCTCTGCACCTCTCTCTACACCCCACACCCCCTTCTCCCTCCAGCCACCCAGGAAGACTCATCCTTCCCCCAACACCCAGCTCCCTCGGCCCACTGGCTCTGGCCAGTGCTCAGTGGTCCCGTTTCCAACCGCCTTCTCTGCACGGTGGAGGCTGAGCTTCTGTGTCCTCTCTGAATCCTCACCACCTCCAAACTGAAATGGTCACTCCGTGCTCGCGTTTTTCAGTAATATGGTTCGTTCACTAGTATGACCGATTTATTCCCTTCTGGACTAGGAGACTCCCACGGACAGGGGCTTTGTCTCTGTCCATCTGGAATCTACTACAAAATTGAATAGATGCTCTGTAGGTGTTTGTTGAAGAAATGAGAGTTCCTATTGGAGGTCATTTCTACTTTTGAGTGTTCACAGCACCTTGTCCCTCTATCACATCACTTTCTGACATGGATTTAGTCATCTGTATGTTTGTCTCTCCTGCTAGACTCTAAGCCCTTTGTGGGAAGGCTCTACTTCTCATTCAATGTTGTCTTATTTTGCTTTCAACCTTTTAGTGTAACGATAATACATGTTCATATAAAATATACAAATAACACAGAGGTGTATGTAGTTAAGAGCGGTGGTAAACACAGAAACTGCTGCTAACAATTGGGTGTATATCCTTCCAGAAGGCAGGATCTTACTTTAGGTGTGTGTTTATAAACATATCACACACACACACACACACACACACACACACACAGACACATGCTTCTTAACATTAAAGGTCATGCTCTGCCTCTTTTCATTCACTGTCATCTTGGCTGGGTTAAGTTCCCCGGCATTATAATGGGCAACTTACTTCACTGAGAATAGTGCCCAGCACAAAGTAAAGGCTCAGTAAGTGTGTGCTGTTATTATTTTTATCTATAATCTTTGCATCCTCAGTGCTTAGTATATCGTTATATCTGTTTGATGAGTGCAAAGCAAATGAACAATGAGATAAATGCTTAAAAATTCAGCCTCCAGGTGCAGGTCAAATTACTCCAATGTTTAACTCTGCCTGTAGACACATCTGGGGGTTCCCGGTCAGCTCATACCCTATTTGTTGGGCATTGAACCCCTATCTAAGATTTTGGTTGAACAGGTGGACTTTCATTTCAACCCCACTGTCAGCCACAGCTGATTGCCATAGGGCTGGATATTTAATCCAAAGAGAGCTAATCTATTCGCTGGGCAGGAACCAATCATATTTTTCCTCTTGGGAATTTGAACTAAAAAACACAAAGACTATATAGTCAGACAGTCATGGGCACTTGGACTACATAATGTGATTTAAAGACAGGTCCAGGGTGGTCATTTTCCACAATGTGGATCTTAATGGCTACGTAGAGACGTCAGAGAGAAGCAGGCCTCTGCAGAGATGCTCAAAGAGAGACAGTCACGAGACCAAGCAGAGAATGAGATAAAAATAGCTGCTTCCATCCCGAGAGGGGGCCCTGAGGCCGGGCTGGGTCTCAGGAGATCCTTGGATGAACTGCACTTCACGTGGGATTGCTTTCTTGAGTTCCTGTTCCTAACAACCAACCATCGTAGCAGCCTCCTGTTTCCTTGGTGCCTGGCTGTCGGCTTCTCTGCTTTCTACCCAACTCTCGGCCTTCCTCTCCCCACCTGCCTGGTTTCCTCTGTTTATTCTTAGGCCACTCTCCTGCTGACCCTTCTCTTATACTCATTCCTGGTCCAGCTACCAGGCCTACCTCACGATTCCTAACTCTCCGGTTTCTCTGGCCGCCCATATCCTGCTCTTGCCCTGAGGCTTAGAACATGGAAAGTGGAAGAATTTAACTCCAGTGAATTCATACAATCCATTAAGCTGAAAGCAGAGAATTCTTTGTTGCTTTAGAAAGGGTGCAGGAATTGAGGGAAGAGGGAACAAAGTCATACGAAAGAGAGTCACCTTTTTCCACATCTCATCCCTCTTGCTGTTGAAGTCACCGGTGCCTGGAATGTCCACCAGCACAACCCCTTCTGGAATCAGCTCTGATTTGGGAAGAGTCACTTCCACATGTTTGATCAAGGGCCAGATGTGTGTCTCCGCTGGGTCTCCATCCCAGTCTCTCCTCTTAGTCCTGATGTAGGGGTCCAGCTTGACAGACAGCTCTCCTGCCTGAGGAAGGAGGAAAAGGTCACACACATCAGACCTTCTCCCAGCATTTCTATCGTGGATGAGCTAGTGATTCAGGTTCATTGAAGGTACACTGAGAAATGGTAAGAAGCAGCAATGGCCTGGCCAGCATGGCTCAGTGGTTGAGCGTCGACCTATGAACTAGTAGGTTACGGTTCAATTCCCGGTCAGGACATATGCCCAGGTTGTGGGCTCTATCCCCATTGGGGGGCATGCAGGAGGCAGCCAATCGATGATTCTCTCTCATCATTGATGTTTCTATCTATCGCTCCCTCTCCCTTCCTCTCTAAAATCAAGAAAAATATATTGGGTGGGGAGGGGAAGGAACGGGAGAGCAGCAATGGGCACCAGGAAGCCTGTGATCGAGTCAATAAGGGCCTACAGTCTGAGAGTCAGAATGGACTTGGAGATCAAGGAGTTCAAGCTCCTCAACTTAGAGATGAAGAAATTAGAGTCAGTTAGGATGGGACTTCAGTAAAGTTAGAGCTTCGCCAGATAAACATTTTATCTCCCAAATGCCATTTCTATTCTAAAATTCATGTAATTAATATGCAGTTTTTCTAAAACTTGGAGGGAGAGGATTCTTCCAGCATGGCTAATATGAACATTTTAATTACCAGAGAGTCCAGATTACAGAACATAGATAGTGATATGGTGACCATAATTTCCAAACTGAAAATTGGTCTGAAAATGATCTTTAAAAAGGTTTTTAAAAGTTATCTTTCAAGTTCAAAAAATATGTTGATATGTGGGCATTTCTAGGATGTTTTAATGGTGGTGGGTGGGATGGCAAATTGTTCTCAGCCTATGGTTTCTTCCTAGACATACCTTGGGACAATGACACATTCATGCCAGCAAATATGTGTAGCAGCAAATTTCTACTGGGCTACTTCAGGGGACAGAAGATTTGGGATGTATGGTGGTCGTTGTTAATAAATATCTATAGAATGTTCCTGTAAGAAAGATAAGGAAGTAAATTCTTAAGAGAGTGGAGATTAAATCAGGGGGTTGTTGTAATCTGGGTAGGGAGTTGATAGATTTCATCCATTTTAATTAAATAAGAAATTATGAAAGAGGAGATGATAAAAGTTATTTAAGATATTTTATTTTAAAAAGTAAGGTAGAGACAACAAGGGCTACATAAAAGAAAAAGCATGGGCTTGCAAAGTCCCTTCTGATTGGCCAGCATGGCTCAGTGGTTGAGCATTGACCTATAAACCAGGTCATGGTTCGATATCTGGTCCCCAGGTTGCAGGCTTGATCCCCAGTGAGGGGTGTGCAGGAGGCAGCCGATCAATGATTCTCTCTCATCATTGATGTTTCTATCTCTCTCTCCTTCTCTCTTCCTCTCTCAAATAAATTTAAAAATACATATTTTAAAGTCCCTTCCTAGAAGAAGAAGACTCAAGCCAATAAACTGGCTCTGGGTAAACCATCCTGGAAGACAAACTCAGATTCCCTTAGGCCAGTCTAGAGTCCCTGACCCAAATTCTGAATCTGTGCCCTCTCACTCACTGAGACGGTCATTCTGTTCCCCTTGTTTTAGTGGGTAAATTTGTAATACTGGGAAGGAGTATTTCTAAATATAGAGTAGTTAAGAAATAAATGTTATATTGATACCTTGCTGTAAGTTGTGTATGCAGATAAAGTAACCACTGTTATAATGATTGTGTTTCTTTGGACATGCTCAGTCTATGTTTTAGATATTAAGAATGTAATTATTTTTAATAGTAACATCCACTTAAATATAAGAAATGTCTATTACATCTAGATAAACAGAGGCTAAGTGCCTTAAGAGATTTCATTCATTTGTCTCCTAAGTGTGCCTTTTAAATTTTTTAAATTTTAAATTTTTGAAAGAATTGAATATATTAAATTTAAACTATAATAGAAAAAGCCTAAAGAAATTTGACTTATTATGCAAGTAGCATTAACTATTTGAGGAGGGTTGGCTATGTTAAACTTAGGAGATAATTGAACACTAAATTTTAGAGCAAGTGTAGAATAATAATATTTTAAGGATGAATTTTAACATGCAAGGAAAACTAGGTTTAGCCAGGCCAGCGTGGCTCCGTGGTTGAGCATTGTCCTATGAACCAGGTTCAATTCCCTGTCAGGGCGTATGCCTGGGTTGCAGGCTCATGATCCCCAGTGTGGAGTGTGTAGGAGGCAGCTAACCAATGATTCTCTCTCATCATTGATGTTTCTCTCTCTCTCTCTCCCCACCCCCTTCCTCTCTGAAATCAATAAGAACACATTTAAAAAAAGAAAAGAAAACTAGGTTTTTAAATGTACAACATTAATAAGTTGACTATTTGTTCCACAAGTATTTAGTTTAACGTAAAATGGAATTTTCATTTAATAAAGTTAATATTGATTATAAATATAGTATAATCTATTAAGTGTGTGTCTAATATCCATCCTAAAGGAATCCTGATTGTTTCTCTGTGGAGGTAGTGAATTGAGAGTGGTCTTAGCTAGTCAGGACCAGTCAGTTTCTTGCTTTCTCTAGACAGACTCCCTTTTAGCTAGGGAAGGCCACGTGAATCAGCTCTGAACAAGTAAATGTACACAGAGATTTGTTGGGGTGTTTCTGGGAAAGCTTTTACCTTCCAGTGAAAGAGAAGGTGTAGTTGGTGCCACTTTTTCATCCATGTCTTCCTTCCCTGACGCTAGCTGTGGAGTCTAGCACTTCAGTAGCAATCTTACGACCAGGAGATAACAAGTATTGTGGAGGCCAAGGGAACCGGAGAGATATTAATCTTGACATCGTGCAGCCACTGAACCAACCCACAAAGCCAACTGCCTCCAGACTCTTGTGTGAGAAAATGAGCAAGTCCCTGTTTGTTTAAGCCATTATAGTTGGATTTGTGTTTTTTTTAATCATTTGCTGCCAAAACCATCTTTGATTAATCCTCAAGTCAGTTAAATACTCCTTCAGTGCACAAAAGCTCCCTCATTCAGACACTAAAAATTCCCATTTGACAGCCATAAACAATGAAAAATAATTTGGTCATGGATACTTCTGACACTTGCTTAGATGAGACATGAAAGCCAGCAATTAAATTATTCTTAAAATTTTTTTAAATTTTGAAGTATAAATAAACTTTAAACCTAAAAAGAGGGCTAGTGCAAAAATATAGTGTCCTGAATATTCTGGGCACTGCAAAGGTCAGATGTTGAATAAAGCTTTGACCCAAAAAAAACAACAAAACACAAAGAAAATCTTATTTCCAAAATAAAACTTGCAATACCTTGAGCAAATCCCTTAAATGGATTCAGTTGTTATACTTAAGACTCATGATAAATAATGAAAAAATATCTTGAAGCTACTACCTCTTCTGCCTTGAGGGTGATGACTCTAGAGGTGGGAATCTTTCCTTTGGGCTTTGCTCTTAGTAATTCCTCATAGGTCTTCCTTTCCGCCCCATTTCCATAAAGCATTTGTAGCTTCCAGACAGCTTCCTCCACTGCATCATCCCCGTCCCACACATCCTCCTCTTCTCGGCCCAGCTCCTCTGTCCTGTGCAGGAGTTTAGTCAAATTCTTCAGCTCCTCCTTCCACTCCTGCCAAGGCAGAGTAGGGCCAAGCCCCTCGTGACACAGACATGAAAAACACTGACAAGGAGAGGAGGGCATTGTCCCTGTGGAGAGACATACTCAGGAAACCTAAAACCATCCAATCCAGCCAGGGATTGTCTAACCCAACCCAACCCCCTTGTTTCCTGGATGAGGAAACAGGGACCCACAGAGGGAAATGGCTTCCCCCAAATTCCCAGAATGAATGGTGACAGGACCCAGGCTAGAACCCCTCTTGCTCTATTGAACTTTCACATTCCATACTATGTTCTCTTCATTCAACAAAAGCATGAGCTATATGTATAAGGAACATAATGTTAATCTCTAAGAGAGAGGGAGAAGGAAAGAAAGGAGGGAAGGAGGGAAGGAGGGAGGGAGAAAAGGAGAGAGAAAGGGAGGAAAGGAAGAAGGGAGGGGGAAAAAGAGGAAGAAAGGGAGGAAAACTGGAAGGGAAGGAGGAAGGCATGAAGGCAAGAAGGCAGGAAGGATGGAGACATTTACCTGGTCAGAGAGAAGGTGGATTTTGGCCTCATACTGCTCACAGCAGCCTGAGCTCACTTGTACAATACATGACGTACATATACTTTCTCCAGACACTGGTAGAAACATTGCTTGCTGGATGATGGCATTGATCAGGGAGCTCTTCCCAGACCCAGTGCTTCCAAATAATCCAATGTAGATTGGGTCCAATGATGGTTTTTCAATCAAAGCAAGAAGCCTGTTTCTAGATCAAGTTTTAAGTGCACATTGCCACGGTCATCAAAGCACAGTGGGAAGACCATCAGAATAGAACACAAAGGAACTGAGTTCTAATCCTGAGCAAGTCACAGCATCTTTGTGAGTCTCTGCTCTCTATGTGGCCAAAGAGGAATATTAATCCCTGTTCACTACATGAATTGTCATGGGGATCAAATGAAGTTATGCAAATGTACTTGGTAATTCTACTCAAAAAGAATGATACTTCTGCATAAACTCTATAATGTTTTTATATAGATGGGAAGCATCCTTGTTTGTGTTCTATGGAAATTACATAGTCTTGACCCCAGAAATGGAGTTTATGCAGAGGAAAAGGATTCTTAGGAGCAACACAGAGTTTTACTGAGTAGAAGATGCAGCCTTGGCACCATTCCAGTCCCTCAAGTCAGCTCAGCACAGCAGTTGAGGGCACAGGCTCAGTCACACAGTCTGGGTTGGACTCCGGGACCTTTGAGTGACTTACCAACAGTGTGACTTTGGTCAATGTCTTGGCCTCTCTAAGCCTCTATTTCAGTAAAATGGGATGATAAGAATAGAGTCCACTTTATGGGGTATTGGGACACTTACATGAAATTTGAACTATGTAAAGTATCTATCAGATTGCCCAAAGACAGTGAAGGCTCAATGAGCAGGAACTACCAGTAGTATCAACAATGGCCTATAGCTATGGAAAATCCTCAGCTTTCTTACTTAGTTTCCTACTTGAAATTTTCCTTTGGTTGTTGGAGAAAAGCACCTACAATCACCTGAGGAAAGACATCGAAGTAAGATCTGAGGGCCGTCGACATCAGACTCACATGAGATACTTGAGTCCATTCGGAATGCTGTCGTCCAGGAAGACGCACTGAATCAGTTTCTGGTAAGTGTTGCTCAACACCCTTCTGGTCCGTGACTCCAGCTTCTCATCTGGAATCAGTAGAGATGCATTACCTGGGGTGTACCTGGCCGGGGTCAAGTCCTAGGCCTCCACAGGTGGAGTCTGCTCAACATTATAGAAAGAGAGAGGAAAAAAGAAGTGAAATGGAAAACCAAGTAAACAAGATCGCAAGTTATCTGACACTAGAGGGAACAGCCCATGGGAGATAGCGATCATTGATCCTGACAGCCTCTCCCAGGAGCCAGCCTGCTTGGAAACTCCTTGTAACGGAAGTCAGCATAGGATTTGCAGTGGGCGCTAGTGCTTCTAGATTCTTCTCTCCTGTGATCATTAGAAGAAAAATAGTCACCTGAAACTCATATAACATCGTATGTCAACTCTACTTCAAAAGAAAAAGAAAAAGGGAAAACAAGCAAGGGCATCGTATAAATACCCACAAAACCCCACACCAACACTTTTCAGTCTTCAATGAGGAAGAAGTTATTTTCATAATAACCCTCTTCTCCAGAGACTGCTAGAGATAACCTGTCAAATTACATCTCTGTGGAGACTATGCGGGCTCCTTTTCCTGGTCCAGGTCCTTTGAAGATGTTTCATTCTGCTCCTGAATTTAACCTTCCCTTCCTTTGAGCATCGGAACACATTTGGAAAAGAGCACACCTGCGTTTTAAAACAACAACAACAAACCACTATCTCACAGTTTCGTAACACTCACATTCCTTAAGAGCGCTTTGTTCCACGGAGGGGAATGCTCGGAATCGCTGGTCTCTATCGGATCGCCTTCTTTTTTTCATCGGTTCCTTAAACAGGTCACCATCAACTGGAGCAAAACAGAGGTGATATAACATGACAGGCCTCGGGCCATGGTATATTTGCCTGACCTCTATCAATACCCAAACCCAAAGAGCCCAAGAGGCCCCCTGCCAGCTCCGCATGCCTGGGAGCTCGGTTCAGAAGCAGGCACTGTGGGGCCATTCCAGTCTGCTTCCCACTTCCCAGGACTTTTCATCGAGTTCCAAAACGCAGGGTCCAGCATATCTCCTCCCGAGGAGATGTTGAAATGAAATAAAGAGTTCCTGTTTGGAAACACTGAGAAGCCAACATGGCTCAGTATTCTTCACCAAGTGCCAACGGTATAGAGAGAGAAGCCCAAGACGGGGCTAAGGGCGGAGTGAAGAAAGGCCTCTGGGAGGTCTCTGCAAACTGGGAAAGAAATTGATGGGGAGCAGAGCACAGAGGAAAGAAAGGCCCGCATGGACCAAGGCAAATCATTTCTCCATCGGCCTAAGTCTCTTCACCTGCAAAAGGAGAAGGGCTGACAAAAAAAAATACGTGTCACACAAGTTTTGGAGGGTGCTCTACCACTGAGTGCCCTTCAGAGATTAAATCTGGGGACTTTCCCCCGTCCTCACTGAAAGTCATCAACAGCTGCTTCCTTGTATAGACAAGAACAGAAATCGCCAAGAAGCAGATCTTTGTAGTTCTGGGGAGACTTTATCACGTTAGTGGTTTCCCTTAATTATCGAGTCAATGGCTGGCAGGAAAAGGATTGGCTTTATAAAAAAAAACAACAATTGATAAGACACTGTGTTTTGGATTGGTTTTAGCAAACATCCCCAGCAGTTAGGATGGGGCAATAGTTGGGTCTTTGGGGTCAAGGCTGTTGGAAGTGGTCCTCACCCAGTCCTCCTGGGGCTGGCTTGTGCTTTAGGAAATGGCTGTGAGGTGAAGAGGAAGAAGAGTTGATTCCCCAAGAGTCATAACACTCATCAGGGTGTGAGGCCCCCAAACTGAGCATGACATTGGAGACCATCTTTCCTGAAGAACCACAAAGGAGGAGCTTCACTTGGGGACCAGAATGGCAGCCCAAGCACAACACCCAGCCCCCACCACTGGGCTCCAGATGCAGGTCTCCAGAAACCCTTCCCCTGGCTTAGCCTTGTGTCTCTCAGCACAAATTCTGTCCTGTTCCGGAGCCAGCTCACACCCCATGGAGTGCAGTGGTGCAGAGGAATGGTGTCTGCCTGAACCTCTGCCGCCCTGGGCTCATGCTGTGATGGGGAGTTGAAAGAGCGTGTACTGCAGCCCCTTCTCTCTCAGACATTCTTACTTTGTGATTTAACTCAACTTAGAGAATTCATCCTGGTTCAACTTAAGGACTGCAAGGGAACTAACTACCAAGTGGCTGGAGCTGAAAGGAAGAGGCGGAGAAGAAAAGAATACGCCACTTGGGCCCATAAGCCCAGTCAGGGGGTACAAAAGATGCCTCCGAATTTCAGGGAGTTGCAACAACCACCACCTGTCTGTGAAAAGAAAGTAAAGGACTTTCGGGCCTTGATCTGGGCTTGGTCGCGCAGGAACTCTTCTGGGTGAGCAGCCTGGGCACAGTATTTGAGCCACATGTACAAATCGAGGGACCAGCAGGCCCATGTCCGTGGCCTGTATTTCAACTTTAAAAAAAAAGCACTGGCAATTAATCTGATCAAACCCTGGAAGCTTATTTCTCAGCGGGAGCAGAGGTTAAGAAGTCAGACAGAACAGCGGGGTTTTAAACTTTTTCTTCAATTTCTAACATGAAAAACCACCTGGAAAGGAGAAAGTATTTCTACCTTGGATCCCTACCATCTCAGGGAAGTGCTTTTATATTAAATCGTAGCTGAAATGAAGTGGCCTGAACTGGCCCATCTCTTATTATTCCCTGTAGTTGTCAAGCCCTCCCCGGCCTTTTCCAGCATTTCACACCGACCCATCTGAGGAGAGAACAGTAGGTGGGAGGAGGGGAGACAGTCCCAAGGAGGAAACCTGAGTCCGCTGCTGCTGCGACTGCTTTTTGCTGCCACAAGGTGTCACTTTTGAAAGCTGATCCCAAATAGCCGGACCCCAGGATACACTCCTGCATTGTTGATCCAGACCATTGCCAGGGACTACATGGCTCTTCCAAGCAAAACAACTTAGAGCTTCTTCAGCGCTAAGTTCAACCAAAGGTGCCCCCGACTGCAATTCTTTCGGGTTTTGTGCCCAGCCATGCCTCCTATGCTGGCCACTGACCCGCTGCCCTGAACACAGCTTCACCTTGCCCCTCGGCCTCTTCCATTCTCAAAACACAAAGGCTGTGATACACACCGCTCTCTGCTCATAGAGGTTACTTCTCTGCATCTTCCTAGGGAAGGCTCCTTCCCTGGCTCCAGGGGCCCTGCACCCAGACTTGTAGAGAGGGGGTCCCCCTCACTGGCTCCAATGCCACTCACCGTACATCTCCCCTTTGAAGGAGAGCAGGTGAAATGATTCTGGGGGCCTTACCTGGCCCATTGTAAGAGAGGTTGTTACCCTCAGACAATCCAATTTGGTTTTCTGGACCCTCCTCTAAAAGGGGAGGGAGGTCTGCATTTAATGGCTGGTCAGACAGTTCACTATATTATGAACAGGGTAATTTAGTTGTTGGTGAAATAATTTATCTTCATTCACAATTAAAAGGTATCACGAGAAAGTTACTTCTGAATAAAGAACAGGGAACAATGACTATAGTTAAACAGTCTCAACCCATTTGCCCTTGATTTTATAATGGTACTTAGTTCTGTTTACTCCATCAGGGTATGTAGCAGGGATGTTACCTGGATGTGGCTCCTGACCCACAAAATCTGCCATGTCTGCCATTTCCTGTTATGCAAATGCCTGTTTTTATCCACTTGGAAGAACCAGCCTAAAAATACATAAAAGGGGGTGGGGGTTAGAACAGCAGAAATTGTAAATACAAAAATCAAAAAAGAAAAAACCCAAAACAAAAAAACCCCCACACATATAAATCTTCTTATGCTTTGTTTCCCCAACTAGATTCCAAGGCCCAAGGGGCAATGACCATTCTAACTTCTCTTTGAATTCCTCACAAAGCCTATTACACTACATATTATTTAAACATGTCAAAACGAATGCTTGCCCATTGGGTTTTCAATACTAGTTGTATCTCTAGAACTTTAAACTGATACGGCCTTTCTATTCATCTTGAAGGCAACTCATTCTGAAATGAGAATACTCTCTAGTGACTAGAACCGTGAATGTGACGTTAAGTAGCTTTGCTGCTTGGGGTGACATCAGTGCCCCAAGCAGGTAAGCCCCGAACCCTCATGCCGGTGAACTTTAGTCCCAGCAGGTCTCAGCAAGAATCTGAGAGATGGGTGGAACTTTGAATGTTCCTAAGGCTCCCTGGAGCTGCTTTGGGGGCTACAGAGTGAGGAAGGAGAGGTGAGGTAACTAGGTTCTCTGGACCTTCCTCACCACCCCAACCCCACTTCAACCAAGAAGGCACCCCGCCTGGGGGCTCTGTGCAGCACCACAGCAGGTGCCTCTGCAGGGGAGGGAGAAGAGGAACATCCAAAAGGAGAAGTGTCCGATCCAACTGTCTCCAGTCCCCCAGCAGACAAGGTTTGGGCACAGGAGGGAACTGGACCCATAGAGGCTCAGAAGAGAGGGCACTGCCCAGACCGGGTAGGGTATGCTATCCTGGACCTTCTTGGCCTCCACACATGGAAGAGCATTTGGGAACGCAACTGGGGACACTGAACGTGCTTACTCTCCTATGTGATGTTGCTATTTGGGTCACTCAGCCGTGTCATTCAAAGCAGAGAGTCACCAGCCCTTCTGAAGTATACAAAATCCCACCTGATCGGTTAACCCTCATTAGACCCATTGGCCGTTAGTTAGAGAGACTGTGCCTCATTTACCTATTAACCCCCAAATGAAAATCACTACTCGTCATTTGAAATAGCCTCTTGCTTAGTCTGGCTGATGGATATGAACTAAACAAACGGTCTCTGTCCTTGGTGGGTTGAATGTGATGTGAACTGAGCCTTAGATCCTTATCTCTCCATTCCGTACCTTTCACCTCCCACTCAGACCACCCCAAATAGCTCTGCAAGGGAGGGTATCCTATTGAACTTCCATGCATTTTAGCATATGTTGTTCCTTCTGTGTGGGGTACCCTTCCCCTCTTCTTCTTGGTGAATTCCTACTCTTTCTTCAAGACCATGTTTTAGCATTTCCTCTGTGAAACTGTGTCCTGACTCCCAGTCATTCCCCTGCTGTGTCACCACTGCTCTGAGTACACCTCTGTTCTAATGCTTACCATGCTTCACTTATGTCTCTTGCTCCTTCCTGAGCCATGAGCTAGTCAAGGTCATGGCTGCATTTGTTTCGATGTTGCATTTCTATTGTGAAGGCAATGACTAACAGTAAGTGCTGAATTGAATGAATGAAATGATGGGATGCTTTTGAAGAGAGTCTACACCAAAGAATGTTTAAAAACCAAATTAATTTTTGATATGTTTAGAATCTTGACTTAAAAGGTAAAGCAGAGAAGGGAAAAATAGGCAGATATACAAATGAAGCAGCATTAATAGTGAGGACTGCTCCATAGGAACTGGGGATGCTTAATTTAAGGAAAGGAAGACACAGGCAAAGTCAAAAGAAGTGGAGAGGATTCACAGAGGTCTTCAAATACATGACCTTAAAGCTGCATATAAAAGAGGGACAGCACATGTACCTTATGGTCCCAAGAGGGGATCACTAGATCTCCCAGGTGACAGGTACAAGAAAACATGTTTTGGCTTAACATTCTATAGTAGGATGCTGAGTTGGAAATGCTAAACCACATGAAAACCTAGGTGAGTTAGGAGAGAAAAGAGGGTAGATGCTATAATGTGCAGAGGAATATGATCATGCCCATCAATAACTTCTGATACAGAACTAGGAAATACCTCTAGGAAAGAGATCTGATGCTTTCTGAAGATAGCAGCTCAGTGAGCCATAGTCACACAAAATGTTAGGATCACATCATAGTGGAGACAGGATACAAAACAAAACGTATGGTCCCACTGGTGAAGACATCCACGGTAGCACTCTGGGACAACTTGTGTTCTGATAGTCCAATTCCAGGAAGAAATAGAGTTGGATGAGGCCCAAAAGAATGAACAAGATGGTGTCACCACCATTCAAACACTGGGATTAAGGAAGGCCCTTCAATCTGAGAGGGAAGTGGGTTTTGAATAGAAGCGCGAGTGTTCAACAAATTCTGGAATTTGTTGGGCAGTGGTTTTGCCTTCCTTCAGAATCACAGGAACCTCTTTTCATCTGCCTTGATTTACCAAATCAACAGTGCACAATGGCCAGCAAGGGCTGTTAGCATGTAACTATCCGAGGTTGGATTGGGTTTAGCTACATGAGGTGAAGACACCAAACCATGGTCCTCCCACGGTAGCAGCAGCTATGGTCCCACATGAGTAATTTGTGACCTCTAACTGAAATGTGAAGATACTGGAAATGATTTGAGTTGTGGTTGTGGTGAATTGAGCTTTAAATTCCTTCTGTCAATGTTCAGAAACTGGCAGGAAGGGACCATTTGATTGGCAAACTAAGACACTGGAAAATGGAAAGGGATCATTTACAAAGAGGCTGAGGAGGAAGAATAAAAGAAAGTGCCCTTAAAAAGAAAAACTTGTAAACAAATATATTAATTAATAGGAGGGGGAGAGCATGGCATAGATACTCAGTATATAGTCATTGGGTTGAACTAAATGATGCGGTGGGAAGGGCATTAAGCTGGAAATCAGTGTAGAAATTCCAGTTCTGGCTTTGCCATCAATCACAGGACTTTTGACTAATCATTCTATCACTCTAGGCCTTAGCATTTCCATCTATAAGTGAAAGATGAACTAGTCCTTAAAGTGTGAATGTTCTCTGATTTGATTGGGTGCCAAAAGGATTAAGTTCTTATTTTGAAAGGTCACCTGTTGTTGAAACCATGACTGTGCCAATGATTAAGCTCTTGTGTAATCAAAAATAGCACAACTGAGATTACCGAATTTAGGTTTAAGAAGTAAATAACCCATAGGTGCACAGTCCTTCAAATCATGTTGGAGTTCACTTTCCCCCAAAGAGAGCCAGTTCATAATGGTGAAATTTCGTGAAAATTTGGTTTCTGTGGAGAAGCAATTGAAAACAGCCCAAATGTATTGCTTATACAGGCTCGGTTTTCATTTGTGGTTTATTTCACTTGTATTTCAACCGTGTGGTTAGCACTTGAGTTTTGCTTTTAGTACTTATTTAAATGTATGTGCACTGAGCCTAAGAATAGTGTCTTGTAAATGAGACTGTCTGTGTATTTAGCTAGGTACGGGAAGGTTGCACAGAACCAGTTTCCTGTTAAATAATTAGGACTTTTGACAGTTAATCTTGCTTCTCCTCTTCTCTCTTTTGTTTGTGTTTGCTTATTTTTTCTTAAAATAGCATAACAGAGGTGACACGCATGCAATAGTTATCCCTATCCCAGAACAGCTTCATGTAGTAGAATTAATTAAAGCCGAGACCAAAGAGGGCAAAGGCCTTGTCCAAGGTCACACAGTGACTCCAAGTTCAGTGCTCTTTTCATTCCACCAAGCAGCCTCTAATAGGCATTATTCAAACAAAGCCTCTGGAGCTTGAGTAGGACAGTGGAGGGAACAGTGCCCACAGATGAGGGCTCCTTCAAATGCATGACAAAAGCATTTGGGGAATGAAGGCTGTTGAGTAGGAGGGAGCTTAGCAACTTGATAGAATTCTACTCAGAGATTCAAACTGCAGCTTCTGCCTGAAAATTCTTCAGTGCCCTCCGAAGTAATATGAGAGAGAGAGAGAGAGAAGAGAGAGAGAGAAGAGGGGAGGAGGAGATGAAAAGAAGGTGGAGGAAGAGGAGGAAGAAGGGAGGGGAGGAGAGGGAGCCAGGGAGAGACACTGAATAGTACACGTTAACTGTGTTTGTTCTGTGTCTGATGCAGAATTAAATGTGTTTATTAAGAATTACCAATGAACATCCTGTTCACTGTCACTAGCTCTTCACCTTTCATCAGAATTTCATCTCACCCTATCTTGCCTCACATCATTAACTTCTTCCAACAGTATTCTTGTTTTCCTTTCATTTCTACCCCCAACCCTACCACAAGGCAGCACTAGTGGGGAAAAACAAACAAACCTGAAATGTTTAAATTAGCTGAGTTCTCCAAGGGACATTTTTACCAACTTTGGTTTATTCCCTACTTTTAATAAATGTGAGAAGTGCTAGGTACATAATAAGCACTGAATAAATATTTGTTGAATGAATGTTTATCTTTTAAATATGTCTCAGATGATAAGATTAATAATGGCAGAAATTATATTCATTCAACGAATAATTATTGAGTGTCTACTGTGTACCAGGCACTGTCCTAGATGCTGGAAATACATCACTGGGAAAAAAGTGGGCAAGTTGTCTGAACCTACAGAACTTACATTCCAGTGAATGGAGCAGTGAAAATTAATCATAATTGGGAGTCAGGATGCCTGGATTCGGGGATCCTGCGCCAGTACGTCAATGTAACACTGAACAAGTCATCTAACCTCTCTGAGCCTCAGTTTATCCTCGCATAGAATGACAATATAAAAATACCTTATCCAGAGTGCATTGTGAGGATTAAATATGATCTCTCATGCAAAGTTGCTCCAAAAACACTTAATATTTGTATAAGCTTCATCCTTGGTCTCTTCTCTTTTTTTTCCACATTCACCCTGTTTTATAGGTTTAAACTTCACCTCTGACTCTCAACTGGTATCTCCAGCTCCAACCTTTTTCATGTCTTGCTTCTCACTAG